CGCCCTGCAAACAGGGCCTAGGTCGCTGGGCCGGGAAGGGCTGATGAGCTTCACAGAATCTTGTGAAGGAAGTAAGGATTGCATCCTGGGTAACTTATGTCCTATTCATAAAGACATAATTAAAGCTGCTGTAGCTGTTTAAAGGTGCAGGCTAGTCTGGTTCTCTGACCCCATCTTCCTTTGGACTTGAGCAATAATCTAGGTGCAGGCCATTAAATCGGTCCGAAAATGCCTACGCCGGCCAAATCACGATTTGCATGCACTGATTTTTTTTTAGTGTTTGAGCATAATGTGGGCCATGAACTTGAGGGTTCGTACAAAATAAGGATGGGAGCCGTGCACTGGAACGAGAGCTTGTATTTCTGTACAATTTGGATGAAATTGGGGCCCTATAAGTGCTCTCGTTTGCAATTGAGTGTAGGCACCGTTTTTTCAAAATGGCGATGGACTTCAGGACTATTTTTAAAGGAGTGATTATAATCGGGTGGAAATTTCTCCCAGAATTCATCAAATTAAAAAAAGACGATGAAATAAGATTAAATTTGGATGTGTGTTTCGAACACCTTGGAGTGTATATTTTCCTGACTTTCTGGATACTCTCGGACAGTAGGTGGCGCTCTTCATCGCTGCCGACTGACGTGCTCGCTTTTTCCGATGATGTCGCCGGCCCCTTCGCGCTCCCCCCCCCCCCCCCCCCCACCCACCCACCCTGCTCGCTCTTAAAATCTGTAGCCGGTTGCAATTTGCCACAATTTACTATATTTTTAAGGAATGTACGCAATTAAAGAAACGTTATTATTTTGAAACATGTAATAAACATTTTACAATGTACAGGTTTTTTTGGGGGGGGGGGCCGGTGCAATATTGCATACTGCGTTTCTTACTTCAATTGGAAATTGCGACATTAATAATGGTACAGTCATATTGATCGAACGAAAATTCGCATTTTCATCAAAATTGGGCATAATTTTGCTTTTTTGAGAAATTCACTAATGTGAGGGGTTAGTCTTGCATTTTTATCAAAATTGGACAAATTTCACTTTTTTTCTGGAAAATCACAAATGTAAGGGGTTAACCTTGCATTTTTATTTAAATTCGGCAAAATTTGACTTTTTCTGAAAAATCACGAATGTTAGTTTTTAGCCTTGCAAATTTATCAAAGTAAGGAAATATTTTGCCTTTTGGGTAAATTTAATTATGTAAGGGGTAATCCTTGCATTTTCATTAAATTGGGCAAACTTTGAACTTTTCTAAAAAATCACCAACGAAAGGGGTAGCCTTGCATTTCTATCAAAATTGGGCAAAATTGGACTTTTACTGGAAATTTCAAAATGAAAGGGGTAAGCCTTGTATTTTTTTCAAAATTTGACAAAATTTGACTTTTTTCTGGAAATTTCAAAATGTAAGGGGTTAGCCTTGCATTTTTTATCAAAATTGGGCAAAATTTGACTTTTTCTGAAAAATCACAAATGTAAGGAGTTAGCCTTGCATTTTCATCAAAATTGGGCAAAATTTTGCTTTTTGGAGAAATTCACTAATGTGAGGGGTTAGTCTTGCATTTTTATCCAAATTGGACAAATTTCACTTTTTTCTGGAAAACCACAAATGTAAGGGGTTAACCTTGCAATTTTATCAAAATTGGGCAAAATTTGACTTTTTCTGGAAATTTCAAAATGTAAGGGGTTAGCCTTGCATTTTTTATCAAAATTGGGCAAAATTTGACTTTTTCTGAAAAATTCACTAATGTGAGGGGTTAGTCTTGCATTTTTATCCAAATTGGACAAATTTCACTTTTTTCTGGAAAACCACAAATGTAAGGGGTTAACATTGCATTTTTATTTCAATTCGGCAAAATTTGACTTTTTCTTAAAAATCACAAATGTTACTGGTTAGCCTTGCATTTTTATCAAAATGAGGAAATATTTTGCTTTTTGGGTAAATTTAATTATGTTAGGGGTAATCCTTGCATTTTAATCAGAATTGGGCAAAATTTGACTTTTTCTTGGAATTTCAAAATGTAAGGGGTTAGCCTTTCTTTTTTTATCAATATTAGACAAAATTTGACCTGTTCTGGGCCGGGAAGGGCTGATGAGCTTCACAGAATCTAGTGATGGAAGTAGGGATGGCATCCTGGGTGACTTACGCCCTATATTTAAAGACATAATTAAAGCTGCTGTAGCTGGTTTTAAGGTACAGGCTACTCTGGTTCCCTGACCCCATCGTTCTTTGGACTTGAAAAATATCTAGGTGCAGGCCGGCAAATCGGTCCGAAATTGCCTACGCCGGCCAAATCACGATTTGCATGCCCTCAAATTCTTCAGTGTTAGAGCATATTGTGGGCCATGAACTTGAGCCGTGCACTGGAACGAGAGCTTGTATTTCTGTACAATTTGGATGACAATGGGGCCCTATATGTGCTCTCTTTTGCAATGGAGTGTAGGCACCGTTTTTCAAAATGGCGATTGGCTTCAGGACTATTTTAAGGGGGTATTATATTTGGGTGGAACTTTCTCCCAGAATTCATCAAATTAAAAAAGACGATGAAATAAGCTTTAATTTAGATGTGTGTCTCGAACACTTTGGAGAGTAACTTGCGAGTATATTTTCTTGACTTTCTGGATACTCTCGGACAGTAGGTGGCGCTCTTCATCGCTGCCGACTGACGTGACTCGCTTTTTCTGATGATGTCGCCGGCCCCTTCGCGCTCGCCCCCCCCCCCCCCCCCCCCCGGCTCGCTCTTAAAATCTGTAGCCGGTTGCAATTTGCCACAATTCACTATATTTTTAAGGAATGTTCGCAATTAAAGAAACAATATTATTTTGAAACATGTAATAAACATTTTACAATGTACATTTTAAATTTTTGCCCGGTGCAATATTGCCTACTAAGTTTCTTACTTCAATTGGAAATTGCGACATTACTAATGGTACAGTCATATTGATCGAACGAAACATCGTTTTGATTATAGTCAATTAATTAAAAATTCATTGATTTATTACATAGACCTTTATTTTGTTTTGAATACTTCCGTAGGCCTGCCGAGTAGATGTAAATATCAAACTAAACCAAAGTTTTTAAAAATATGGGATACAAAAAATCAAAAAGTTATGTGCTGGCCAAGCTTTCAGGGATTGGATGGGCCATAACGATGCCCCATCACAATCCCCTAGTTCTCTTCCGGGCTCTCGGGGGTCCCGACCAATACACACTTCCTTCCCTGTCCATCCATGTAACCCCGGAGGGCCAGTCACCATGTAAAAGCAAAGAGCTAAGGGAGGAACAGGGCGGCACCCTAAGCCATGATCCTCCGAGTGGACCACATGCCCTGAACCTGTACGAAGGTGCCAACCTGGAACTCGCGGACAGTACCAGCCGCAGTGCTTACCGATTAAGCTAAGGTACAGTTGGTATTTTACCACGGCAAATTAAACATCTTATAATGACTGAATACAACGCGTGCGTTGAAAAGCAAAAAGACACCGACGGGATTCGATACTGGGCTCCGCGATTCGTGGACGACGGATCTAACCACTCGGCCACCGGGCTTCCTTAGAACTCTCCTCAAAACAATTTGTCTTAATAAAAGGCGGAGAAACCTGGAACATTGCTGTGTGCATCTGTTTTGGCTTCATGGACGAACAGAATTGAAGTTGATGTTTCGGGCAGTAATGAGTCAACTGTTCTCGTTTGTTTGGGAAATTGTATACGGCACCCTCGTTATTCGTAGGCCTATACGTGTGCTAAACATGCTTATCGTTACGCAACAATGAACACTAGTTTATGTAGGCTATTTTGAATTTTGACCGGGGGGGTTCAGGCCCGTTAGATTTCTTTATCCAATCTTAGTATTTGAGTATTTTGTGTGTGTCAGAGCGGGGCGTGTCTGGCGCGATAGGGGGGTCCGAACCCACTGTGGATCCGCGCCTGACTTCATTCTTTATATTTGGACGGATACAGATTCCCAGCTCCATCACTACTATTTCAACAGAATATGGACTTTTTTTTCTTCTTTTTTTAAAGGAAACGTGTTTTTACGGATTTTGTTCTCTAACGCTGTAAATCAGGCCTCTATGTCTATACTGATCGCTGTTCACGACAGTCCTTCATCAGCCTGTAATCTAACATGATTTTCCTGAAAAATAAAGTAAACAGTACGTTCTCATCCTTAATTACACACACACACACACAAACCTTAAATGTACACGAAAACAACATTACACTAGGGGAGCTGTTCACTGAAATGGACTACCCTCGTTAAAGATTACAATAAAATAAAAAAAATTTAAAAAGACCTGCGTGCTTAAATATAGTTTACGCTTCGTGGATGTGCACTATTGAATAGGAGCACAAAGCGTGGATGTGTTTTTTTCAAACTAAAATGGTCGTTATTGGCCGAGCACTGTCAGTGACAGATTTCATCCTTATAGTAAGGTGAAGGTGTGTTCGTTCATGTTCTGATCACCCCAGATTTGTACGTTGCTCAGTTTCAAAGATATGCCTGTTTTTGGTATCTCAACAACGCACGCGCACACATACTGAGCGTGCACACGCAATGTTGCAATGAGCAAATAATGTCCAAAACTTTTCATAGAATTATGCTAGAGGGCCCTATATATGCAATAGTATAATATTTAAAGCTACCACATCGATCGAGTCACTGCTGTAGTGTCATGGATACTAAATCGGATTACAAATCCGATGGTGCGAGTTCGATTCCCATTGGATGGCTTTTTCTTTAATTTATTTTCTTAACTTCTTTTTTTTCTCTTAAAAGGGTTTGTTAGTCAATTGGAACATTTTTCTTTTACCAATATGTGGTTTGGAGGATTTTTTTTCAATGGAAAATAAAGTCAGAGAACCTGACTTGCAACTCAACGTACTTCGAAAAAAAGGCGCACGGAAAAAAATGTCGCAGCCGGGAAGGGGGGGGGGTGCAAAGGCACCATGATTTGTTTCGCCCAAGTTCTCCCCGGGCCCCGCCTCTGCTCGACCATGCGCGTGAGGGCGCTGTTCGAGGGGAAGGTGACAGAAAAAGATGGCAGCGCCCATAGCCTCTATCGACATGATCGAGACTCGTTGAGTTGCGTTGGACACGGATTCGATATGGATTCCGGAGAGGAAACAGTCGATTTTACAAGTCATTTACCTGATGAACTTTTGCTTCTCGTACTGGCACATGTTTCATATAAAGACCTGTTCAGGCATGTCATTATAAGAAAGAATTGAATGAAGTTTGGATGTGTGTTGTTATGCTGTGTCAGTCATGTCAGTGTCATGTGTCAAGTGTCAAGAACATGATGAACACTAGCCCCATAAATGTGGCCTATTTACTGGACTGCCTCCGTAAACATAGGCCACACATCCACATGTACAAAAATCGTGTCGACGGAGCCAAATTTTGATTTTCACATTTAGGCTTAGTTTGTAGGTTTTTTTTGCTTTAGAAGCATACTCACCCTCTTTATAGGCTAATCAGAAAGTGCTGCCTTTTTCAGATGTATATTTTTCGTGAAATTTCCAGATTCATTTTTACACGTTTGCGTATCAAAATTTCAACATGAAATTTCACAAAAATTAGACATCTGAAAAAGGCAGCACTTTCTGATTAGCCTGTAAAGAGGGTGAGTATGCTTCTAAAGCAAAAAAAACCTACAAACTAAGCCTAAATGTGAAAATCAAAATTTGGCTCCGTCGACACGATTTTTGTACATGTGGATGTGTGGCCTATGTTTACGGAGGCAGTCCAGTAAATAGGCCACATTTATGGGGCTAGATGAACACCATCACCGACCGTAGTGTTAAATCGGCCGGGCCATATGTTCATTGTACCTTATCATCTCCATATTTTGAAAAAAATGTTTACCCCCCTAAGGAAAGAATCTTGCAACCTGACTCGGAAAGATTCCCATATCTGGCCATCACTTGTCACCCTGTGCACAAACCCTATGGACTGGTCTAAAAAAAAATTAAGTGTTTTCTCAGTAAAAATTCAAAATTTGCTAATTTTGACTTTTTATGACATAATAATATCAGTTTCTGATGGCTGATAGGTCATTTTAGGGAAAAAATACTGATGGCCGGATATGGGAATCTTTCCATTGGAAATGTTTTTCACTCCCAGATTCATGTCTTTCATCTTTTTTGCAATGACTGACCTTCATTGAGATAATATGTGAAGAAAAAAGCAGCGTCAGGTTTAGCCCCACTAGTGTGGCCTCAGTATTGCTGCGCTAATACGAGTAACCAAGGTCACACTAGTGGGGCTACATCACGTTGCAACATTCTTTCCCGAGAACTGTGTAAGGAATATGTTGACAAAGTCTTAAGAGAAATTTGTAGGCAAATGTGTGGCCAACTTAGTGAATTTTTACATAAAACTCTATTCAAAATTATAAAACACTGTCAATCTAAATATATAAGATTACTTGAAGTCGAGGCTGCAAATGCAATTTTGGAATGATAACACCTTGTAAGAAGTTAAGAAACTGAGCGAACCCAAACAATAGAGGAGTCCTAAAAGTAACTATTAGGCCTACCAGATATTGCTTTGATATGGTAGTATGCACTAATTAAAAAAAAAAAAAATGCAATTGTGCTATGTGTTCAAATATTTCGTAGAGGGTTGGGTTTTTTTTTTAGATGTATTAGTTGCTGACCTAACCTGTATATATATTAAAACTAATTGGTATTCCCTACAGGATAGGATGTGTGTGCCAAAGACTGCGTGATTTGAGCCGCAGCAATTTTCTGTGGAGGAGGTTATGTCATGTCCACTGGCTGGATGTACCGTAAGTCAGGCTTCTTATCATTATTAAATTTATTTCCCAAGTTGTGGCATTTTGGATTTGAAAGGTGTTAAGAACTAAAAGCTACATGTAGGGGATGCTAAACTACATTATCGCTGAAGTTGAAAGTCTGACATGTTCTTCCAACCCAGAAGAAAGAAAGAGAAACTAATGTATTAAACTGTTTCCTATTGTCAGTTTTCACTGCTATTAAAACCTTGCCCGTGTTGTTTTTGTAAGACTTAGTCTAATCGGAAAGAATTCCATTCTGGGCCACCACTCATATTCCTTAATTTGACCAAGTACCAAAAGTTGTAAATCTGATGAAGAAACACTATTTAAGGAGTGCAAAAAATTCTTTTAAATACTTTAACTTTTTCTGCCATGGCCCATACACTTTGTGCAGGAGATCTGAGTTGGTGGCCCAGTATGGAATTCTTTCCGTCTAATCTCTAGGGTGCTGTGGTCCAATGGTTACAGTGTTCGACTCATGTGCCGTGGTACATGGGTTCCAATCCTAACAGGGAACATGGTGCTTGTGCTCTTAAGCAAGGTACTTTACCATTATTGCTTCGTCCCTCAGGTGGGACGTAAAGCCGTAGGTCCCGTGTGTAGTGTAATGCACGTTAACAAAACCAGTAACACTTATCACTATTTAAGAGAAGGGGTTTGCCCCGGGGTTTCTGGCAGTGGCAGCAATATGCACTACAGCACCTTGTAAACCCTTATAAAGGTGCTACATACATGTAATGGGTATATTTCTCATAGACTTCATTTACCTGTCTTAATAATAGACATAATTTCTAGCGCCTTTTTGTTGGTAGATAAAAGGTAAAGGTAAATGAGGGGCCTCGTAGCCGAGCGGTTAGAGCGTGGAGCTACGGAGTCGAAGGTTGGAGGTTCGAATCCAATTCGGACCAAAAACTGGAAAACTCTCTCTGACGACCCAACAGTAAAATGGGTACCTGATTTGTTCAGGGAAAGTAAGACAGCGAGAGGAGAGGACTGGGCACCGCCACTTATATGCCACGCCCAAGACACAGTGGACCTCTAACATCCCACTGCCCCTACGGCCAGTAATGGCTATGGGATCTTTACCTTTACCTTTTATTATTATTATTATTATTAGGTGTTGGGCCTTGTTTGTTTTTTATGGCAATCAATACAATATTGCAGGGTCTTCATTTTTGGTATTAAGTGCAAAACCACGTGACCCTTCCTTCCGGTCGAAACCGGAAGTGCCTTATTATTTGAAATTGGCAGAAGATGCGAACTTGCTTTCAACGATGTGAGTGTCTGCCTAGGCAGTACTGTACAAACATTTTACAGGTGACGTCATCAAATGTTAGAGTGCCCTCTGGCGACATGTTGAAAAAGTCAAACATGGATTTAAACATGCATATTTTGAGTTTATGTGTGTGGCAAAGTTTTCGGTAATCCATGGCACAACACCGTGTGGTTGTTCCTACAACCTCTAGTTATTATTATTACTATTCTCGTGTTTAAAACAGTCCAGTCGAGGACGGCGGTGAGGAGGAAAGCCCAACTGTCTGGTATAGAACATTCCAACGAAGCTACCGGCATCTGGGCCTGTTCATTGGCTGCTACTCAACCCTGAAAGGCCACTGGAATAGAATCGAAGCTGCTCTGAAAGAGAGAGGGGCCGTGGACATTCTGGAAACGCTGAGAGGTATGTTTAGGTACATGCGTCTTTAAAGGGAAAATACAACATTTGCAAACATCAAAAAATAAAACTACCAAATCATTTTGAAATACCTTGCTGGACTGTTAGTGAATGACAGTCTAAAGCATCCTGTAAAATCATGGCACCTGGTATACTGTCATTTTCAAGAAAAGTGGTATTTTTGTATCAATTTCCAACGCTGATCGGCCGACCAGCGTTTGAAAAAACTGGCGTTTTTTCAAATACTGGCCCCAATTGACCATCGCACTTGTTTGCAATCGATTACACACCTTTGAACGGGTACAAGCCAGCTAGACTGGTTCCCTGACCTTACAATTCCCCAATGTATGTAAACTGCTCTGTTTCTTCTTATATGGAGTCAGGGAACCAGACTACAGGAAAAGATTGTTTTTCTTGGTTTTTATAGCATTTTCGAACCCAAAACCTCAAAAAAGTCAGTGTAACTATATTAGCTATATATTTCCAACCCCCCAATTCCATCCATTTCTGAAAATTACAGCAAAAGCAAATGATCTATATTCCCTTTAAGGAATACTTTTGAATGTGTGAAACAATAACACTTTTTCACAAAAAGATATAACAGTGAGGTCACAATACAATATGCATCACGATATGTATTGTGAACTTACATGTAATGATTAACAATTGTTGACTGCTGTGATGTGGGATATGACATTTTTAATACTTGAGGGACGCATAGCACCCGAGGCGAAGCCGAAGGTGCATGCACCCCGAGGGGGTTAAAAACGGCATACCCCACATCACAGCAGTCAACAATTGTTTTGTTTTGTTATACCTCTGTCTTGCATACTGTATTTTCATTGGCCTAGAACGATCACATGTTCAGTTTGTATTAAAAAGTCATGGCACACTCCCTGTGGGATATCACAGGGAGTGTGCTAAGACTTTGTACGTACGGTGTGAAACGCTTGTATCGTTTGTACCCATGCTATTTTCACCATGTTTTCACACATGAGTGGGAGTAGCAAACTAGCAGACAATCAGCTGTTTCAAGCACATGACATACTTGGTACTTAGTGGGTTCTTCTGCTAAAGACTTCCACAAGGGAGTATAACTAGGAGGCCAGAAACACCGGGGCAAACCCCTCCTCTTAGCGATAAGTGTTACTGGGTTCTGTTACGTGCGTTAGGCCTTATACAACACACGGGACCTCCGGCTTAACGTCCCATCCGAAGGACGAAGCAATAATGGTTAAGTGCCTTGCTTAAGGGCACAAGTGTCCGGGCCCGGGCTCGAATCCACGCCACTGTTGCTTATGAAACACCAGAGCATGAGTCCGGTACTCTTAACCGCTAGGCCATGACACTCCATGCATGTGAGTTGATGTTCGATCGTCATGATTGTTGTGTGTACTGCTGTTTGTTTTCGTTATTTTTGACATCAAAATCCGGGTGTTCAAAACGTCATATCCCACATCACAGCAGTCACCAATTGTTAAATATTGTGCCAGTAACTCAAAAAGATAAATGGTTGTAACTTACTGTGAGAAATAGATTAAATCACTGGGATGTAACCTTTGATAACTAAAGTTTTTGATGTCCTACCGGACATAAGACTGATGGGCGTTTGACGTTTTAGTTCTCCTTGCGCAAAGCTAGCGCTCCCAGGCAGATTCCACATACGCATGCAACGCGCAACGAACGCAGTGCGATATCACCCTCAGTGTCTGACATGCGTTTTAATAAACCAGACGCATGGCCGTTCTAGACCAATGAAATGACAGTATCCAAGTACACAATATAACAATACAGGTTTCTGCAGATTCTGAATTATTATTTTATATTGTAATGAAAACAACGATTCCTCAAAAGCGCCCTAGACACTGTAGCTCGCAAGCCTAAAGAAGCCTGTAGAGAGGAGACAATGAGAAGAAGTGACAGTTTTAGAGGTGGGAGGAAAACCCAGAAGAATGTTCTGGGGGAAACTCACGGAATCAGGTAGGGACTGAAAACCCAGTCCACATATGGACCAAGGCAGGAATAGGAATTGAACCCAGGGCCATAGAGGTGGAAGGCGAGGAAAGGACACTACGCCAATGCAACGTGCGTACTTTGTGCTATATGCACACGAAACAGAACGTGCACGCGATGTGCCCCTCCCACTGGGGGTCTTGAAAGTTGTCACAAAGTGCCATCTACAGGGTGAGTAAAAAAAAAACGAAACCCAAATGTCGGGACCATTGTTTAAGTGAAGTTCTGCATGTAGCACTTTAAAAATCTAGGATGTGAAAGTCCAATTCACAAGAATCATTCAAATCACTCATGTAATTTTCAAGTTACGGAAGATTACACAACCACTGTTTTAAAGTTCTGTCCATGAATAACAAACGATAGGGGTTCTTTCAGTAAAAGGAAAACAAATCACATAGGGATGTGGGTGAATTGTTTTGCTTATGCTGAAAGAATGCACAGCTTTTTTGTTATCCGTGGACAGAACTTTAAAACGGTGGTTGTGTTTAATATTCCGTAACTTGAAAAGGACATGAGTGATTTGATTGATTCTTGTACTTAAAGAAAGCTTATCAATTGGGCTTTCATATGCTATATTTTGAAAGTGCTACATGCAGAACTTCACTAAAACAATTGTCCCGACATTTAGGTTTCATTTTTTTTCTCACCCTGTACTGTCCGTTCCAAATTTTTTTCCTTACAATTCTTGTTTTTTGTTCACAGGGCCCACTCAAGAAAACGAAGTCCCTTCAGAAGCCCAAGTGTTGCCCATCCCTGCAGATGTGTTGTGTTCGCTTCATATACACGACGGGCAAGAGACGTTTTACGGCGATGAACGCATGCTAGGCCTTGGTGGTCTTGTCAGGGTCTACAGCTTCCAGAGTTGTCCGGTGCTTTTAAGTCGCAGGACAATGGTGTCGCAGTTACGTGAGCTTAAGGATGAATTGGCTGAAGAGAGAAAGGGACAGGCATGTACATGTATATCTGATTGCTTTTCAATAAAAATTTTATAAAAATAATTCAACTTGGGTCTTCATCAGATTTGATATTTTGATGGCACTGTCAGCACAAACTGTAAAAATTGTAAGAACAAGTATGCCTACCATGATAATTTTCCACAAGCACATATGTGAGGCGCTATGGCAAAATGAGGCAGAACTGGGCAGAGGTCAAAATGAGGATTGGTTGGTACTTGGAAAGACAAGTTTTGATTTTTTAATGTGAGCATTTATCGACATGTCAAAAAAGTAAAATACTGAGAAAAAGGCCTTTAAAGTTCCAAGTTTTGTATTCATGAAAATGTAAGATACCAATTGCTTTTCCTTAAAAATTGTTGTTTCACGGTTTTTAAACTATTTCTTTAAAATATGTGTAGTAGACAAATCAAAGATGACAGATATTAATAAATCAGAAAAAAAATTACCCCATTCGTTTTTTTTACTTTTCTCCACTACGTTCTGTGCCCACTTCCATCACACTTTACCAGAACGCCTCATATTTGAAGTGAAACAGCATTTCCAAGTTTTCTTTTAATTTGTACTGCAATTTTTTTTTACTCTGTTATTTTTGTTTTTAGTTACTCCATACTGTCACAGTCCTTGAGTGTCCCTTGAGTCGTATCTCCATACGCATGTGCCTCAACTCCGTAGGAGACTTCCAAACGGGTAACATGTTTTACTGCCATCACGATTATGTTTTGGAGGTATGTATATCAGAGTTGCTGACTCGAGTCATGTGACTTGGACTCGAGTCGGACTCGAGTCGCTTTTTTTGTGACTTGTGACTTGACTTGTAAATACCAGCTTTGACTTGTGACTTGACTTGGACTTGCAAACAATGACTTGTGACTTGACTTGGGATTGCAAAAAATAACTTGTTACCAACCCAAGTTGGTAACAAGAAAACAAGGCATGACACCTTTTATGGAGCGAGTTTCATTAGCTTTGTGCAAGAGGGTGAGATTTAAACGCCATACGAAAACCATACTCACATTCAGAATCTGCCACTTTTGACTTGGCGTTTGGAGCAAAGCACGATCGAGGAGGTGTGCAATGACATCAGGGGTGATTCTGCATTCCTTCAGAAGCTTTTGGCTTTCCGCCACCATCTCTAGCACTGTATCGACATTTTGGAAGTGAGTATTTTTTTTCATATGGCGTTTAAATCTCACCCTCTTGCACAAAGCTAATGAAACTCGCTCAATAAAAAGTGTCATGCCTTGTTTACATGATCTGAAATGTTGGTTTAATTCCTTAGGTAAACAAAAGAGATATTTCGGATGAAAAGTAGGTCATGTTTTTTTTTGGGGGGGGGGGGTTTGACACGTAGTATTTCACTTTAGTACCCTTCAACTTCATTATTGTTTTACTTCAAAATATTTTGTTGAATAATATGTCATCCTGAAATATACTAAAACAGTATGAAGAGTCGGAACAAACATTAAAAATCAATGCAGCCATACTGAAAGAAATATCCAAATAACATGAAACATTTTCCAACTTTGATAAACATAAAGCCACTATGCCCTCATCACTACTCCAATTTTCGGGTCAAATTTAAAGTTGGCTTCCCCAATAAGCCATTTGCGAGTGACCTATACCCTTTGGGATTGAAATTTGAAAAACATCTGGTACATTGACTTGCTCAGAATGCTTGGCACATATTAACTTTGATTGTCCATACCAAAGACACTGTTGCTATATCACATGATTCGGGGCAAGCTCTTGCATAGTTACGTAAGAGATGCTCAGCACCAATACATTTTTCACAATGGGTGAGAATGACACAAAGACACCAGACCATGCCAGAGCTGGGGGTTGCTAGCATAAAGCTTGCCCTGAATCACATGATATAGTAATATTATCTTTGGTCGGGAGAATGCAAAGTTAAGATTTTATTCCAGATTTTAGATTTTATTCAAATTTAACTCGCAAATGGCTTATTGATCTTCCCATACATCCTGTCCCCTAAATATAAGGGTTCAAAATACATTTACAGAAAAATGACATTAAAATCACATCCAATCAATTCAATTATGATGCATTTCTTATCTGGTCATTTTTTTTTCTCAGTCTAGTTTTGGTTGGCCAAATGAAGGCTATTTTCTGTTGGCAAAAAGTTTTACAGACTGGCTGGCACAACTGGCTGACAGACTGTCAGACCCTGGCACCATATTTCAGCAGTCGTCACTAACCAGGTACGTGCATCATGTGACCTGCATGCGATACATGTAACTCGCACCCCGCCCCCTCCCCTACCCCTCCCCTTCCCCTCTCCTACCCCTCCCCTACCCCTCCCCTACCCCTCCCCTACCCCTCCCCTACCCCTCCCCTACCCCTCCTCTACCCCTCCCCTACCCCTCCCCTACCCCTCCCCTTCCCCTCTCCTACCCCTCCCCTACCCCTCCCCTACCCCTCCCCTACCCCTCCCCTACCCCTCTCCTACCCCTCTCCTACCCCTCCCCCCTTCACTCCCTAGCCCTTCCCCCTTCCCCACCTCTCTCAGAGTCTTGTTTCTCATTTCAGGATACAGTATGGGTCATGAATTTAATATTTAGAGAGTATGGCAATAATGTTGCCTAAATAGACAGAATTCACTCTGAAAGGACCAGGTTTTGAAGGTAGGGTAGATCATTTGTGTACTTTTTTTTTTTGAAGCAACAAAAGTGCTCAAAATCTAAAGACAAGTGCTTAACAACTAACCTGATGTTGTATATTCCAAGAAAGAAAAAATATATTTTAGGATCTCGATTTCCATTCAAAAGTTGCCCAGTCATGTTTTGAATTGCGCCCGAATTCAGCATCCGGGACACGTTCTCATTCAGCTGATTGCAGCCAGGTGATGTCGCGCACTGATCCGACGAATAATAGCAACTGCACACGCTTGGGCGTCACATCAACGCTCGCGCGCACCCATTCACGGATTTGCCGAATTACAAACCAACTACTCATAACGGAAGTTTCTAAAAACATGTCACATTTCTTTGGAAATGGCCTTCTTTTATTGTTTTCTTCAAAATGACAGCATGCCAGAAAGAATCATTTCACAGGGAGTTTAGTGCCATCCCCATCTTTAAACCAAGTAACTTGTCAGCAATGGTTTCATCAGATACTTTTTGGATTGCTGCAAATGATCTACTCTGCCTTTAAAGGGGGGGGGGGGGCCGTTCCCCTTCTACAAGCCATGGAATTTTATTTCAACAAATTCCTGACACAAAATTCCAGTAAAATTTATAGAGATTCTGCTTTTTCCTCTTGATGTAGATTCTACCTCGAGCCGTCCTGCGTTGCCGTGACGGAGCATGTGAAGGTTTCCGTAGCAACGGCCTTCATCTCTGAGATGAGTGAGAAGCCACTACGGCCTGGCAGGAATATGTTTGCGTATTACATCACCATGGCGATGGACGAAAACAGTCCTAGGAGAAGTACGTATACATATGCTACTGAAATGTGGACCATATGGACCACCGCTTATTCCATTATTCGATTAATAAATCATTGCGGTAACATTCTTCGTTCTGTTACATGAAATCAGCCCTTTGAAAAATTGTCCAAGCAAAATCCTGAAAATTACATGCCCGAAACAAGTTCAAAAGGAATGGGTTGCAATATAAAAAAAAGACACACATATACTTGTGGAAAAAATAACTAATGTTATATAAAAGTTCCGCTCATGTTGGTTATTGAAACCTCTGTTAGCTTTGTTTACGATTTCTCTACCGATGGACAGTGTGCTGATTTTAGCTATATCAAAACTACATCACAGAAGTGACAAAAGAGTTGGGTTTTTTTCTTCAGAATCCTGTAAACTTCGCACTAGACATTGGGTCATAAGGGACAGTAACGGCCGCGTTGAAACTGTTGATGGGGCAGGAGTAGTTGGTAAGTTTGATGTGTTGTTTCCAACACGGTAATCTGTATCTGTATTCTTCATGCCTTGAGTGTCTGTGGAGCTTGACTTGAGACTGGAGGACATGTGCTGGACCTGTGAGGACTTGCAGGGGACTAAGTGACGACTTGTGGGGACTTGGTGAGGACTTATGGGACATGTGAAGACTTGTGAGGACTTGCAGGGCCTTTGGGAGACTGTGAGGACTTGGGAGAGCTTGTGAGGACTTGATGTGACTTGTGGGGACGTGTGAGGACTTTTGGGACTTTTTGGACTTGTGAGGACTTGCAGACTTGTGATGGACTCATGAGGACTTGAGAGCTTATGAGGACTTATGAGCACTTGTGATGGATTTGAGAGGACTTGTGGGGACTTGTCATGGACCTGTGAGGACTTGTGATCAACCTGTGAAGACTTGTGAGGACGTATAGGAACTTTTGATGGACTGGACAACCCCACTGCCAGTTCTATGGCATTTGTTCTAAAGAAATAAGTCACCGAATATCCCCCTCCCCTTTACCTTTCCCACAATTGCCCAGGTGATTTCCCCATTATACAACCAGGGACGTCCCACTCATGGGCAAGCTACACCTCCTTTGTCACCTCAGCCGGATCCATGGGAGGCCACTTTGGCATGGTCAACTTGGAAACTCGTAAGTGGTTTTTCTTTTCCGAGGGATAATTTAAATAAATTGAGGTGTTCTTGCATGCCCAGAGAAACTTATGTGTTAAGTTGTATCATAAAATTGTAGAAATTCACAGAAAAGTTTCCTCGTGGTCTCCAAAGAAGTATTCACCAAAAAACCAAGATGTTTTTAAACCATGCCTCTCATCTGCTTTCATGTTTATATGTAAAGAGTGACCTTTGACAGTGATGCGTGACCTTTGACATCATTATCATTTGAAGGTCAACTTTTCACATGAGACCAACTTTATATATTCAGCCTATACAACTTGACCTCGTATGACCTGTGACCTTGGTATGTGACCTTTGACATCATTTTCATATGAAAGTTACCATGTTGCATCTACGACCCAAATTTGGTTCCAATGGGGCTTCAGCTTTTGAAATGAGACCAATTATACGAACCTTTAACCAAAATACCACACTACCACAGACATACTACAGACAGTGATTGCATAGTCTCTTTCCTGAACAAAGTTCAGGTGAGACAAAAAAAAACTCATCTGAATCTTTCATTCAGTGAGCTGATTTAGTAAATGATTGTTTCTTTCCAGAGGAAACATTTAATGTGAAATGCCCGGACTTCCACATGAAGGCCCTGCCTTACTTGCGACTTCCGGAATATTCTGAGGAGATGGTGGATGACACCTAACAGCAGAATGTCTCATTTTAGTTAGTCAACACTACAGGGTGAGTCAAAAAACATGAAACCCAAATGTCGGGACTATTGTTTTAGTGAAGTTCTGCATGAAGCATTTTCAAAATCTAGGATATGAAAGCCCAATTCATAAGCTTTCTTTTAGTGCAAGAATCATTCAAATCACTTATGTACTTTTCAAGTTATGGAATTTTAAACACAACCACCGTTTTAAAGTTCTGTCCACGGATCACACAAAAGGTGTGCGTTCTTTCAGCAAAACGAAAACATTTCACACACATCCCTGTGTGATTTGTTTTCGTTTTGCTGAAAGAACACTTACCGTTTTGTGATCCGTGGACAGAACTTTAAAACGGTGCTTGTGTTTAAAAGTCCGTAACTTGAAAAGTACATCAGTGATTTGAATGATTCTTGTACTAAAAGAAAACTTATGGATTGCTTTCATATCCTAGATTTTGAAAGTGCTACATTTAGAACTTCACTTAAACAATGGTCCCGACATTTGGGTTTCGTTTTTTTTTACTCACCCTGTATACAGGGTGGATCAAAAAAACAAAAAACCGAGATATTATTGCTAATTGGAACAGAAGTAGGGTACATGTGGGAGATATCCTCTGTTAGGGTTGAATCTCCTCTTTAAAATGACACCCTGATCATGTCATTACATTCATGGTTGGCTGAGCAGTGACCAATTTTATGAAAGGGTATTTCAGAGAATTGCGCCACTTTGCAATTGTGGTTTTTGCGGTGTCATTTGCCACAGAGTGAAAGGCTATGTTTGCCCATCAAGGCAGGTAGGGAAAAAGAGAGATTTCACCATGAAAAGTGGCGCAGTTCTCTAAATAGACCCTTTCATAAAATTGGTCACTGCTCAGTCAACCGTGAATGTAATGACATGATCAGGGTGTCATTTTTAAGAGGAGATTCAACCCTAACAGAGGATATCTCCCTTTGATTCACATGTGCCCTACTTCTGTTCCAATAAGCAATATTATCTTCAAGCAAACTTGTATCCTCGATCCTGATTGGTCGATCCATGGCAACAACAGTGTGATATGAGGCTGTATTGCACGGTCCATATCACACCCTGCGTATTGCGCTATTCCAAGATGCGAGCGACATTCCAGCTGCATGCGCTAAACCGCTGAAAGGTTCATGTAAAGCAATGGTCCAACTTTACTGCGCGTCAAGTTTGCTTGAAGATAAATTTGTTATCACGCTCGTGGAACACGGAATAATGTAGTGCGTCTGTGTCCCACATATTTTCGGCCTCGTGGTATGTGGGACACAGACGCACTACATTATTCCGTGTTCCACTCGCGCTGGCGGGATAACTAATAATATCTCGGTTTCGTTTTTTTTTATCTACCCTGTAGTTATACATGTAGCTTGATTTGAGGTGGGCCATGGCACATTTGTTTTTTACACAATATCTGAATAAATCCCCGTCATCCGATTGGTGGGTCATTGATCACGTGTCATTAAATTATTCATCCCAACGCAGGGCACGGCCGCACGGCGAAGTTCGATTTCACGGTAACTGGAAGTTCTTTTGCACGGTCACACTTTTGGCCGCTCTGACCAATTATATGACGAGGATTTATTCAGTCGTTGTATAAAACAAGTGATAAATGTTTCACATTCGTGCAATGGAAGGAATAAGTTTATTCCGCGACGGATGGAATGTTCCACCTTTCCACGAGGTGAACCTTGTATGAAACAATTGATGTGTCACATTTTAATAGCATTTTATTAACTAGACAAAATAATTGAAGAGCGTGTAATCAATCTGTTCTGTGGGTGATCGTGGAATATATTTTTGTAATTTTTACCAAGAGATTGTCATTATAAGAACTACTAAAACTTGTCTAAGATAGTAATATTGTTGAATGTAAAATTTTCACCAAACCGACGGAAATACATGTAAGAGTACGCAGCAAGTTTTAATTGTGTTTCCATTGTGTGTGGTATGGAAACATTAAAAGTTTAGAGATTTTTTTTTTTTGTGAAGCTTTAAGTGGTTTAATGTATTTCATTGTAACCCCCAAAAATACAGCAAAACAATAAATGTTCATCTTCATAGATAAATAACCCCACCAAGCCATTTCATTCATGTATTTTTTTTACCCTCCCCAATTGAAATAATCAACTGAAAAAATGAGCAAAATCACTATATGGTATCAAAATTCATTATTTCAGGTTTAATATGGCTGTTTTACCTCAAAACGTGGTATGTTCTTTCCTTCATTCTTTAAAAGTTGGTAAAGTTTGAAAGAAATGGAGGAATAGCTACATGAATACCAAGAAAACTCAAGTGGATGGAGTGAGTGGCTGGTGTGTAGAGGGCCCGTCGCTCAACAATGCGGCCTCTGTTCGATTCTTAGCTCGGATAGTATGTGAGTAGAGTTGTTCATTGATTCTCTCCTGTGCCATGAGGTTTTTTCTGCGGGCTCTTCGGTTTTCCTCCCGCAACAAAAATCCACACTTTCGATCTCGGGCCGTGCCCCATGGCTAGACATGGGCCGTACGGCAGCTGCCTGAAGCCCTTTTACATGCCTGCGGCTCGACCACGTTGCAGCAACATCTTTCGCAATTCAGCTTCTCAGCTGTGAGTAAGGATGATTAGCCCCAAATATTATTGTCTTCCTCTGTCTTGAATACTGTATTATCATTGGCCTAGAACGATCACGTGTTAAGTTTATAAAAAGTCATGGCACAGTCCCTGTGGGATATCACGTACCACAGGGAGTGTGCTACAACTTTGTACATACGGTACGTACGGTGTGAAGCGCTTCTATCGTTGGTACCCACGCTAATTTCACCATGTTTTCACTCTTGCGTGGGAGCAGCGAACAAGCAGACGATCAGCTGTTTCGCGCATGCGATATGTACGCAAGTTGACGTTCGATTGTCATGATTGTTGTGTTTACTGCTGTTTGTTTTTGTAATTTTTACATCAAAATCCAAAGAATCCAAGACAGAGGTATAACATAACAATTGTTGACTGCTGTGATGTGGGATATGACTTTTCAAACACCATCAAGGTGCATAGCACCCTCCACTACGCCTCAGGTGCTGTGCGCCCCTCGGATGTTCAAAACATCATATCCCACATCACAGCAGTCGACAATTGTTAAATATATTATGAAAGGTGAACCACTGCTCAGGAAGAGCTTGCAACTTCACCAGTAACAATGTAACGGGCTGCTACAACAGCTTATCGACTTTGCAATATTATCCTACTGGTTTATACTCAGTAAATTTCATATCCCGTTTAAAAAAAATTCTACTTTGAAATATATTATATGTAAAGAAATTATCTGACTTGTTTATTTTTCTATCAAGCATTTTATTTTGGCATGTGGCTGTCTTGAGATGAATGCATACATAGACTCTTAATATAGCGCCCTCTATTCCCCAGTATGAAAAGTTAAGACAATGTACAACACAGCTTTGTAAGCATTTAAATAACACTCTACAACATGTCATTTAATGAGATCTTTTTAGAATTTCTTTAAGCATGTTCGAATGTAAACATTTCTATATTCATGAGAAATGCAGTGATGTCATCTTGGGCAAACGCTTCTTTGTCATAGCGGTGCAAAAATAATCCATTTCAACAGGTCTTTATACATTCCTCAAGTAATTAATTATGTAGTCGGCATTACATTACATTGCTGCACAAGATCAAGCTTTTACTTTTAGTACAATCTAGGCATTTCTTTTGTCTTTCCTCAAAATGATACTGTATGTATGATGTAGCAGTCAGTGAAATGAAAGGTACCAAAAAAATTCTCAATTCTTTCCCTGAAGAACCCTGGCAAAAATTACTCAGTACAAATGTAGGTAAATGTAATTATTAACAAATGCTACAGTTAACTATGAAAGGTTTGCAGACGAGCCGACATTCTCTCAATATTTCAAACAGTACACTGTGATTGTCTTCAGTGCTCCTAAAGATGATTTAGAGCAAACGGATCAAAATATTGTACCGAACCAGTTCTCCTCAAACACAACTTGTAGTATGACTCAAATTTCCAATGAGCAAGCACAGACAGATTCGGGGGGGGGGGGGGGGGGGTAATTTGTTTTTTTAATTTCTCTTTTTAATTCTTTTGTTTTTAATAATTCAATCCGACAACCATTTCTGATGCATTTATTTTAAGTAGAAAAAAAAGAACCCCTCGCATCAATTGAGGTCCAGGCCTTCCCCTACTTTGACGTTTTTTAAATTATCATGTTGGCCCCTGGATCCACCGATGTGAGCAACCATGCAAAACTTCAAGTCTCAGTGCTGATGTTAATAATCACCTGTAAACTCTAATGCCACCTTACATGTCACCGTTTATTTCATGTCAACTATTTTGGCAAACTCTCCCGTTTTCAAAGTGAGTCACTTTTGTTTTGTTTGTAAAACCGGAAAGATGAAGTTACGGTTGCTACTGCATGACCAAGGAGAACGATGAACCTCTCCAATAAAAATGTCATCCTGATTAAGCCACATATTTTGGCAAGCAACCGGGACTGGCGTTTAGCCAGAAAACCCAGATACATCTTGGCTATCCTCGATCAACTGGGGTTGTTTTTTTTGATGTCGCAACCTCAATTTAGAGACCTGGTTTTTGGCGTGAGAGGCCGACTGTTGAACTGTAAACTTTTCAGGGATCATTTTCATGTAAAAGTACTGCTTCAAATATTTACAATGTATCTACAGGTATGATCAAATTTTAGACAGCTATACGGATTCAGACTAGCAGTCAAGCAACATTCTCAATGCTAAACTATTGTCTAATTTTTGATGGTTTTTTTTTTAAATTCTGCCTACAAACAAGAGCACATGAACTGTGGGTTTTTTTTAAGATTGGCATGGCATAGTAGTGGGCTGTTTAAAGAACATGTGATGCCCAGTAAACCATAGACCAACCTGCACACTATACTGTTGTACAAACACAGAGGCCCCCTTTAACCCTAACAGAATTCAACCCATCAAACCCCAACGGCATGTTTTGTTGGAATCTGTCAGGATGGGTACAGTACCCCTAAACTGACACATCTTTTACATTGGGTTGGCAAATCTCCAAAATCAAAGTCAGAAATATGTGTGTGCAGTTTCCCATATGGTGTTGGAATTTGCCGGGATGGGTATGGTTCCTAGTAAATCATGCTAGGGAGTTAGGGTTAATGGTAAAGGAAGTGTGCCAGTTATTGTTAAAGTAATTCATCAGGGGCAGTTGCTTTGCGCAATAGCTTGCACAAAGCTTCTCAGTTGAAGGTGGCCTCCGTGATAGGAGTGAGGGTGTGCCTTGATTGGTCCATGCACCAAACTTAGATCGCAGCTGATGGTATAATTTCCAAGTAGTATAAGGTGGCAGTGTCAGCTACCGAGACGCCAAAAAAAAACCCCAACTCCGACAGAAATACTAAGGACTGATGCCTTTCTATTCAGAACCACTGTCATCTTCCCGCTTCTTGTGCTTCTTCCTCTTCTGTTCAGTCTCGTCTCCTCTCTCCTCCGAGTGCCTGTGTTTCTTATCCCCATTCCCACTGGAGTCTCCTGACTTTGACGATGACGTCTTGCTGTCATGTCTGGCCCCATCATCTCTTTCCACCTTCCTCTGGCGGTCGTCACGATCTCTGTGTTTCCTGTCGTCGTCTCGACTGCCGCGGTGGCTCCTGTCTCGCTCCTCGCGCCTGGATGCGCCCTGCTCTGGATCCCGCTCCCTGGATCCTCGCCTCTCACGTTCTCCTTCTCTCCTCTTCTCTTCTCGTTTCTGTCTCTTGTCTCTTCTCTCTTTCTCACTCTCCGCGTCCCTCTCGCCCGGTCTCTTGCCATCCCCTCCATCCTTTGTACCATCCTCCAGCTCCCTGTCAAATATCTCGGAATCCTTCGACACCTCGTCTTCGTCGTCAAATCGGGTGTGTGTCCCATCCGATTTCTTTTCTTCTTTCTCCTCTGGCTCAGAGAATCCCAGCCCGATGTGTCGCCGACTCTGACCGGTCAGCTTCTTCTCCAGTCCAACTTTGTACTGGTGTTCTAGGTTTTCTTCCATCTTCTTCATTTCGCCATCTAGAAATATCACCCCAAATTCAAATTCGTTTTCAATCAAAAATAATAGTCTTGCATATCACACCAGCTAATGGTTTCAGTTACCACGTTACCTTGTTTTTTTCGAATCCGTTTTTTTCCCGAATGTTTCTGTTGTAATTGGGTTTGTTTTTTTATGGGTTTAAAAAAGAATACGAGTACTACTCAATGGCAAAAAAGACATTTCTGCTTGTAATTTTTGTAAAGAAATATTATCTGTAATTCACCACTCCTGAAACTCTAAACTCTGGCCTCACTATCAAAGCTGAAAGCTTTGATGTCCTAGAGCAGACCACTAGACCTGTATTGAGCCAAAATCTCCCACTGGTCTAAAATCTCCAGAACCCAAGGCCAAAGATGAAGCCAAGGTTTGCACAAAGGCCCCATGTTTGACAATCCCACTTGACCTTGATTGAGGTCATCACATCAGAAAGCTGTCTGAATTTGCTGCCAACTTTCTGAAACTGATCAAACAGAAGATAAAATTGCTCACCTGTTCTTGAATGGGCATCTTTGTTTGTCTCTCCAATCACAAAGCGTCCTGTGTGCTGCTTCTGTTAATTTAAACACAGAAATAGTTCGTCATATAGCTTTTTGGTATAGCATCTGTGCATGAACAGTAGTGACGACACCGCATGCGCATGGCGCAAAGTAAGCATGACTTATTGCATTTTGAACGTGTATAAGCCTATATACAGTCGAACACCTTTATAACAAGGTCCTTGGGACTTTAAGAATTACCTTGTTATAACAGGTACCTTGTATTGAAGGGAATGTACAACATTGGCTTTTGCTGCAATTTTCAGAAATAAGTGCATTTAGAGGATTTATATGTTTTAGCAAATATTGTTAAACTGACTTGTTTCACGTTTTTGGCTTGTAGATGCTGGAAAAACCAAGAAAACCAATTATATTCTTGTAGTCTGGTTCCCTGACCCCACTTAAGATGAACTGGAGCAATTTATAGACTTTGGGGAATTGTGCGGTCAGAGTATCAATTTAGCTGGCTTGTACCCATTCACAGGTGAGTAATCAATTGCAAAGAAGATGTGGAATAACTAAATAGAAGAAATATGGAGTAATTTTTGAAAATAGCCAGTTTTCTCCAGCGCTGGTCGGCCGACCAGCGTTGGGAAAAATACAATTTTTCTTGAAAATGTCAGCACACCAGGAGCCACAATTTTACAGGATGCTTTAGACTGTCATTCCCTAACAATTCAGTAAGGTATTTCGTGATAAGTGGATCATTTCGTTTTTTGATGTTTGCAAATGTTGTATCTTCCCTTTAACAGTAATGGAAAACAAAGAAAAACAAAGACTTGGGACCTAAAATTGTGCTTGTTATAAGCAGTATCTTGTATTAACAGTGCTCTTCTTATCAGTGTTCGACTGTAGCATCTTCACGTGAGGGTCAGACATGACTACTAGCAAAACGTTCGAATGTGTTCGTTCGTACTTGTGCACAGAGTCCATACCAAAACACAGTAAATGTTACGGTGACTTTGGCATCAATACCCTGCTGAAGTCTCTTACAAGTTTCAAGTCAAATCATCTATTTTCAAGTGACAAGCTACTTCTAGAATTAGAAGGCACTTTTCCGTTAGCTTTCTAGCAATGGTGATTTTTTTAGGGGTAAGTACGCTAGGGCTTTTGGAAATGCCCTTTGATAGATGAAATACCTTTGTCTGAAATTCTAATTTCAGACACACGAAACCACCCAAAAAATTCACCTGGATAACTCAAAAATGTTTTAGAACCACTGACATTTGGATCATGGGACAACTTTTCGGTGGAAAATCTGATATTTTTTATCCTTCCAGCCTCGCGTTTCCGATCCGAGGAATACAAGGGTCATGCTTCATGTGTGTTTAGTTTACGTACGTTGCGCGTGCGCTGATCTTCGCGTAACCCCAGCAGGTCAACTCTACATTTGGCTCTACCGTTTGGGAAGGAGGGGGAGATTGTATGCTTTGCATCTCGCAACAGTTCCTTTGTTCAACCTATGTTATTTCTAACCTGTACAGGGAATTTGTCTTGAGACTAACATGATCATGGTTCTGCCAACTTTTGACAAAAAGATGCAAGTGGGAAAAAATTTAAATTGTGTCCAGTGTTATTTGCAAAATACAAATGCAATGTATGGCTATTTTTTTTTCATATTTTGATTTGGCTGGCTTAATGTACTTGGAAGATTCAAAATTACCTTCATTCCACCCATAAGCCGAAGGAACTTCTCTTTTTGGGCATTGTCTCCGAAGTCAGCTGATTCCCACTGATTGGCCGAATGAACAGGATCCTTACATAGCAAAATGGGGGGAAAATGCAAACAGAAATCAATTTGTATTATTAAAACAGATCGGAATCTGACCTAGCGTAAGGCCAATTTCAGACTTTCTTTCCCTTTATTCAAAATAATCGTCCAGACCCACGAATCAGAAAAAGAAGATGAAATCAAATGTGGGATTCAATTTAAACAATAATTTGAATAAATGAAGAAAATTCTAAGGAGGTAGGCCTACCGGTAGTCCAGTAAATTTGCCACATTTAACGTTATGGGGATTCCTTTCTCTATCCATGGTGAGAGTCTGTCACTTTGGCATTTTTTTTTTTTTCTATAGTGTCAACTGACTTGAATATTGGCGATCGTGTAGTGTAGGGCCTGGTTCTATTTTAAGGGAACAAAATCCACTTTAAAATTATTAGATCGACATGATCGACCAAACTAGTTTGCGACATTCGCAATAAACAGGTATGTCAATTTATAGATAGAGGGCAGGGTTTTGATTTTTATTGGGAAATTTTGGGGTAAAATGACCCTAACCTAACCCTAACCTGAAAATAAAGATGGCGATCACCGCGCCACGCGATGTACCATGACTACATGACTAGGTCTAGGCGTGAGCACGCACGGCGCGCTGAATCGCAAGTCACAAACCGCGCAGGAAAATCCTGATTTCTACCCAAAAAAAAACTTCAAAATTGCAAAACGGGTGTTCTAAGAATTGAGAAAAGTCTGCTTTTGATTGTAAAGGTGATTTTTGAGCAATGAAAAACATTTTTGTTTTGACTCTAATTTGATCAAAAACAGGGGCCCTACACTACACGATCGCCCGAATGTTTTTCTCATTTTCTTTGTTTTCATCAATTGTTTCAGAAAAAAAATCCACCACTCTTCAACCCCTTTTTTAAAGGCAATCTTACCATTGACGGCCCTCCTTCCTTTTCCTTTTCTCCACTTCTCATACTCATGGTTTAACTTTGATATTTTGGGACTAAAAATTCCCAGAAAAATGTGCCAAGTTCATCCACTCAATCGCAGCTGTGGAGCGCCCTCTTGTGGTAAAATATCGGAGATAATCATTGGTAGAGGGCGCTCTTTCTCATATAAACTTGTATCAGTGGCCCAAACAAAACATACACGAAGGAATTTAATGCATGTAAGAAAGCATGCAGCCTTGCAACAATAACATTTACATGCGATGTCATGCATAGTGATACAATTCTTTTTCCAGAATGAAATGGAACCAAAAATGGAGATAAAAATACAGGGTTCTCCACTTTTCAGCACAGTTAAACGTTTTAAGAGCGAAACAGTATATTCTAAACAAAATAATGAAATAAATTGTCTTTATAATCTCAAAACACTTTTGCTAAAAAAGTAAAATGAAAGTGGACAGGAATCGCCTCAGATTGCACCACAGAGCATCTATATCCCAAATTAAGCCACGCACGACGTAGGGGCTTTGCGCTCCGCTTTCGCATTAATTTTGTCCATCCTATATTCCAGCACCCCCTGGCAAAAGTTTGTTCCATCAGCGGCAGTGAAAGATGTAAACTCAATAATCCAACTGTAAAAGCAAATATCGGTATTTTGTATTCATTCAATTTGTGGCCGGGGTAGGCAGCACATTTGCATGTTAAAAAGGCTTTATTGTTTGTTTATTTATGTATTACATCTCTATACCAAGGGTATGTTCAAACAGTTTAAAACTGGTTTCCATTGGGGTCCCGCATACAATACAAATGACTACACACATGTACGAATACAATACATTACAAATACATTACAAATACAATACTATACAATAAAATAACAGCATGTGGGATTGATGCATAATGTTAAGCAACTATTGTAAATATTGTAAAACTATTACAAGTACATGTACAGTGTGAAACAACCTCTCTAACACTAACAGGCTTTACTGTTAGGCTTTACTATAAGGTGAGTTAAATGAACACAGGGCGCGGCGGAGCATAAACTTTCTCGGTAAAAAAGGGCACATCTGGTATAAGAAATATCAAGAGGAGATATTTTCTAAATCTTCAGGCAGTGCAGAAACGATATTTTTCTCAAGGTATCCAAAATCATGACATGTCTATGATATTTCCGCCATGATGGAAGTTGACCCGAAAGCAATAATCTCAGCCATGACAATGGTGGCAAAGTTGATTAGGCCTATGCTTGCCAGGATTTTTTTCATTCGATCTTTCAATAGGGGCAAATGTCCATACCTTTCCCCTGAATTTTTTTTCTTTTTCATTTAAAAGTTTCATTGATGTCGCTAGCATTCTGTACTAAAGATTAACAAATAGCAAGGTTCACCGTGACACATCACCGACCTAATAGGAGTGGGACGGGCCTTTATTGAAACTAGTCATGCCTTACGCCAATTCCAGTGTAGTTTCGTTTTAATTAATAAAAAAAGCCATTCATATTTTACCCTCTGCAAATGTTTCCTCATAAAGTCTCAGTAGACCGATAAATCCTTGCCTAGCCCCAAACTTGCCATCTACCGATCATAACTTAAAGATGCATTCGGTCTTTTAGTCTTTTATATTTGCCATTCCCTGTAACAAACAAATAACACTGCAAATATATTGAGAGCTACATCGTTTGGCGAGTTAGAACTAAAGCGGCCCCTGGCCCTGTGGCCCCACGCCGTAATAAAACAAAACATACACGAAGGAATTTACTAAGTGTAAGAAAGCAGCCTTGCAACAATAATATTTACATGCGATGCCATGCCCAATGATACAATTCTTTTTCCAGAATGGAATGGAACCAAAAATGGAGAAATACAGGGTTCTCCACTTTTCAGTACAGTTAAACGTTTTAAGAGCATCGGTATAATCTAAACAATATAATGAAATAAATTCTCTTTATAATCTCAAAACACTTTTGCTAAAAACGTCAAATGAAAGTAACTAGGTTACCATTGATCGTAACAATTTTGTTGGTTCAGGTCCAAGTTTTAATATAGAAAGGCCTAAATCTATGAGTAGGCCTGCTACTAGAACCACCCATGTAATAGGCATGGGCGTCGGGCGGGGGGAGGGGGCAAGGGGGCGCTTTCCCCCCCCCCCACCCCCGGAAAAGCCACACACAAAAGGAGAGTAAAAGGAAAAAGAGGTGTGAAGTCATTATTTGCTATTTATAATTTAATACACATTTAACAAATTGGGCGTCTGCAGGGGTGTCAATGGGGTTGGGTGGGCAAATGCCCCCCCCCCCCCCCCCCCGCCTACCCTCGCCAAAAAGGATAAATTGAGAATATGCTATTGAAAGTACAAGGACGTTGGGGAATTAATGTGCTTTACCCCCCCCCCCCCCTCCACCCGAAACAATCCTGTCGACGCCCATGATAATAGGAGCCCATAGAAAACGAAATATACGACCATCGTTCTATCAGGAAATAGTTCCTAAATATTATGATTGCATTGCCTTCAAATAGTGTTTTTAAAAAAGATCAATAATTAGGTGCATGATCGATGTACCCTACGTGTCCTACAGTGGGGGCGGACGGGTTTTCCCACTAGGCCTACAATGTAGTATTACTACCCAGAAGAGTTTGCTGTGAAATTAATTCAATGTTGAAATCGAATTGTCTAATTACAAGTCAAGTCACAAGCTACATCCAATCGAACTGTGGAAAAGAAAACAATCCTTTCTATGTATTATTGTTCATCCCAGTTTGCTTGTGACTGGACATTGTGAAAAGTCTTGTGATGGTCTCGTCTCAGACTACACTGCAAACCAAATGCCTGTCAAATGGGTTTTCAGCCCAAAGTCTGGCTCAGTGTCTCAAATTAATTTGGACTTACTGTACGATCGTCTTATGGATGTGAAAGTGTGTCTAATGACAATGCATGGTTTGCGACAGAAATTCTCGGTAAAAACCCACAGGGTATCCCCAAAGTCGTGCGAGCAGATATATTTTAATTTCTGATGGAGCATAATTATTATATCTTGTGTATACAGTAAAAATGCCATGGAAATCCGTTCATGCAAACTAGAGATTTAACAGATTATAAAATGCTATGTTTTTTCTCCGATTCCATTGGGAGGGTATCGTGGGATTTACACTGCAGTTAACTTAATTTACATGAGAGAAACGTACCCATGCCAATCTGATGCACTGACATCACAATGTGCGTGTAAATCCCATTGGAATGGGTGGAAACAAAATAGCCTTTTACAATCTGTTAGATCTCTGGTTTGCATGAGCGGATTTCAATGACGTTTTCACTGATTATATTAATTAACATAATTAATATGCTCCATCAAGATGAAATCCTCATGTTCAGCAGTTTTTAAGAAATTATTGTTTGCTTGCACTAGTTTTTTTTTTGTTTTGTTTTTTGAGGGGGACACTCTGTTTATGCACCAAAACGATCTCTTTCAAACTTTATTTGGTAAATCGGTCATTTTTTTTTCGAAGAGACGTCTGGATTTTTAAAAGAAGTTGCATTCTGCGTCAGTTTTCATGTGAAATCACCTGTTTATTACGTAAACCAAGACTAGGGGGGAAAGCTGGTCCCAGGGTCTACTATATGGTTCAGAATAGTTCATCGGCGGGAGTCTTTTCGTAGATATCTGGTCTACACAGTGGGCCGGATACCCCGATAGTCGTTCAATGCTATTGCTATCCTTGTATATGCATCTCTGTGTCCCGCTATAACCTTATTTTCAAGTTTCGTTTTGCCGCTTTGAAGGGTATTTTGATATCTTTTAGGTTTTTTATGCTCATGCAAATTTGCCAATGTGATGTCGTTCCGGACAGAATGTTGCAGCTGTTTCAGCAAAAAAAGTTACTAGAATTTTGGATATTTTGCTGTCATAGATTTTCCTTTCTTTTGTGATTCGTTGCTGTGTAAGTACATGGTAGTTAGCCATATATCTTTATACAAAAAAAGGACATGCGCCCGCCACATTAATTTCACAATGTCTAAACAAAGGCTAAGACTTAAACTGGAAATTGTTGTTGTTTGGTGTTATGCTATTTACTACTCTTTTTGTTCACTTCTATTTAATTTTTGTTCCATTACTTTTTGTTTTTGTTTTCAGGGGGTTCTAATCACGCCTACCCAATCTCTATCGAACCCTGGACAAGTTTTCTGGGAAGGCCCGGGGGTCTCTCCTTGGCCTTTGCCTGACCTGGTCGCTTCAGGCACGTCCCCCGGTCCTGAAACCCCTTGACCCGTACCCCTTCCCTCCCCCTCCCTTGATAAGGGCATTTCCGTTCTGGGCCCGTGCCAAGCACTGCCAACCCACTCACGGAGGGGCATGCTCTGTGACTCACGGGTCTCGATGACTTTCCTCTTTCTACAAGAGGGCGGGAAAAAATATCACCTCTGATGTGAATAAAACTACAGGACTTAAAGAGAAGATACAACATTGCAAACATAAAAAAACGAAATGATCACATTATCACGAAACACCTTACTGGATTATTATAGGTAATTACATTCTAAAGCATCCTGTAAAATCGTGGCTCCTCGTGTGCTGACATTTTCAAAAAAAAAATGAATTTTTCAACGCTGGTCGGCCGACGAGCGTTGGAGAAAAGTGGCTTATTTTCAAAAACTGCTCCTAATTTCTCATATTTAGTTATTCCGCATTTTCTTTGGAATTGATTACACACCTGTGAAGAGGTACAAGCCTGCCAGACTGATTCTCTGAGCTGACAACTCTCCAATGTCTACATTGAAATTGCTCCGTTTCGTCTTAAGTGGGGCCAGGGAACCAGACTACAAGAACATGATTGGTTTTCTTGGTTTTTCCAGCATCTACCACGTGAAACATGTCCGTTTAACAATATTTGCTATAACATACTAATCCTCCAAATCCATTTATTTCCGAAAATTGCAGCAAATGCAAACGTTGTACATTCCCTTTAAAAAAGTAAAATTATAATAACACAGGAAATATTCCAAAAACAGGAAACTCAAATGGTGCCCCCTGTTTGTTTTTGAAGAATATCTGCATGTAGCGCTTTCCAGATCTAGGATATGAAAGCCCATTTAATATAGCTTTCTTTTTAGTGAAAGAATCATTCAAATCGCTTATGTGTACCTTTCCAGTTATGGAATTTTGAACACAAACACCGTTTTTAACCTTGTCCACGGTAATATTTAAGGTACGTGATATTTCAGTAAAAATGAAACCATGAACATGATATCAGAATAATCCCATAAGTCTCCGGGGTAGCCAAGTAGAAGGCAGGGCAAGACTATAAACTCTTGACATTATAAAGCATGTTATTTTGAAGCAGCAGGTTTTTTTAATAAATTGTGCCAGTTATCATGGCTTTAAGAGTGTTCTGATGTGGGTTTTTTTTTATATGTGAATAGTTTTCGTTTTGCCGAAATATCACTTATTGTGATCCGTGGACAAGGTTATACAAAACTGTGTCTGCGTTCATTATTCCAAAATTGGAAGTACATAGGCCTTAGCGGTTTGAATGATTCTTGCACTATAAGAAAGCTTATTAATTAGGCTTTTATAAGATCTTGAACGCGCTACATGCAGAACTTCTTTAAAAATAATGCACTTGATACCCTCTGTACTTTATGCGTTCCAGTTTTCATGTACCACGCGTAAAAGTTAATTGTTTTCAAAATTTAATCAGTCTGGTGTTTGCTTTTTATCGTTAGCTATTTTGTTTTCGTTCCCTGTCCTCACATGGTCTCCGTCACAGGAAATCTACGTAGTGTCTTACATTTTGTGGGGGAACATGTTGAAAACCCTGCTTTATGTGTTCATGTGACTGGTAAATGCATTAAAGTGACAGTTCAATGTAGAAATCAGATCCCACAATAATTCGTGACTGGAATCGAGACTAGCACTCCAACTGCTCGAGTTTCGAGTACCAAACCCGAAATTCCTTCTCGTTGTAATTCCTGGAAAAACCTCAAAATTCCTTAGATATGAAAATGTGTGCACTTTTATATTGAACTTTTTAATAGTTTTCGGTCAAGCACGCACTTGGTTTGTTCGTTGGTCGATTGATCTGGTAGCTGGCCAAACAGTTGGTCACCGTGTTTGTAACTAGGACAGTATGTTGGCTTTTACTTGTTAGTTGGTCAGTCAGTGGTTGGTTGTTTGATAGGAGTAAGTCAGTTCTTGTATAGGCCAAGTAAATAAGCAGTTCACTTGTTTTGTTGGTCGGTCAGTAATTCGTTTGTTGGTGGGTTGGTTGACCTGTAAGTTGGTTGGTAAGTAAACCACTGAGGGCGAATCAGACGGTTTGCAGTCGGTCATTTTATAGTTGGCCAGTATGCGGTGTTCAGTTAGATAGGCCTCAAAGCATTTTTGTTCGTTGGTTAGTTGCTTGGCTGTAGATTGGTATGTTAACCATTGCAATACCAACAACCATCCAACTGAATAGCTGAACTATACAGCGAATACCAAAAATAAGGAGGCCGTCTCCCTCTAGAAAGTGGAACATTTTGAGAAAAAACTAATTTGGCTAAAATTACATTGTCATATTGACTAAAATATCCTGAAGGACAATTAACGACAGCTGATGTGGCAGCCTGAGTGTTCTATGTAAACAGGAGGTATCTCTTACGGGCCTCAATTATTTTCTTAACTTCCAAATTAGTTCTTATCCTATGAGTCCCGTTTTCCTGTTGTGAAGCTGGACAAGGGACTTGGCTCCGAACAAACTGCATAATGCATGATTGACTCATCCCTGTTGCATATGCAAATAAATGGGCGGGTCGCAAAAGTTTACCGCGCATGTGCACACGAGTTCGCGATGCTGTAGACTAGGTTTGATCTTTTTTGTTTGGCTTGTATAGTCGACCTGCATTCGAGGTGCAGCTCGCCTGAGACACAGATCGACACCCAGGTTGAGGAACAGACCCCCAGCCGTTCAAAATGCAGGTTTTCTCCCCTTGCTTGTTGGTTCTACTGGTCGCCGGCCTGGCCGCGGCCCAACGGCTCAACAACTGCCCGACGATGTGGTCCGGCGCCGGCGAATACTGCTACCAGTTCTTCAAGCAGCCTCTGCCCTGGCAGGAGGCGAGCAACTTCTGCTCCAAGTTCTCCTCCTGTGCCACGGGAGCGGCGGCCAGCCTGCTGAAGCTCGACTCAGCCCAGGCCGACACGCGGCTGGAGAAATTCCTGAGTCCAAAAGGCAACCCCAGCCCTCCCAACACGTGGATCGGCTTGGGCGATCCCATGAACACGGGTCAGCTCACCTGGCCTGACGGTACCACCACACAGAGCGTAGGCTACAACAACTTCGGGCAGGGAGGCCGGAACGGAAACTGCGCTTTGAAGGACACCCGCACGAACCAGTGGACCTTCGCGCCCTGCACGCAAGCGAACTCCTTCGTCTGTCAGATGCAGCGGAGCGTCCCTCCGCAGACCGGCGGCCCAGGCACCAATTTCCCTTCACGACCTGTCTAAAAGTCGGCTCGGACGAACAATTTCACGAACAGTTTGTGCAGCGTACAAGAGGAATTCGTACAAAAACTGAACAACCCAAACGGGATCCAAGATGGCCGTACGAGAAGTAGCACCAAGTATAGTTCCCTGCCCCAGTCTCACCAACATCCAGCGTGTTTTCATCCAGTATAGGTCGAGTACCGGCGATGACCATCAAAAAGTATTTGCTCCACCCTGTAAAACTTCTTCTGGTACAAACATTCATCGCTATCTTGTGAAGCTTTCTTCAGATGTGAGCAATAATTGAACTACAGAAAAAAATGACAGCATTCACTGAACAGTCAGAAACGAATTTATCGAACAGTAACGCATTTTATCGAATATGTTATCTCATTTTGTGTTAGTTTGTGTTAGCACTTCTTTGACAATAATGTTGGCAACGGGATTTTCAAGAAACGAATAAAGGAGAATCAATGGTCCATGAAATAAATTTCCTCTGTTTGACAGCTTCATTGATGTGTGAATAATTTTATTTGGGAGGGGGGTTTGCATGCGAGGGGGGGGGGGGGTGCGGTGCTGGGGATGCATCGGAGGGGTTGGCGGGTCCCGAAATTATGTTAAACAGAAGTTTCTGAGACGAACCCCAGTGAAAGGCGAAAAGGATTTTCTGATTATGAGCCCTAAATTGCTTAACACCCCAATCTCCAAACCCCATAAATCCTTGTACCCTGTACTGTATATTATACAAAATCCAATGTAGAGATATCGATTTCAAAAGCATGGGGAAAAGTGTACCATACAATTGTATACAAGTCCGGACAACTCTTCGAAAGGAATTAGTGGGTTCGTAAACCTTGGCTCGTGCGCGAGGCCGCTTGGTGGCGCTGCACAAGTCCCTGTTACTGGAACGCGGCCGTGAAAAAAAATTGTGAGATTTATGCAACTGGCCCTGCACTGTTCAAGTGGAAGGGGCGGGGGGCACCAGTGGGAAGTCTTCGGCTAATTTGCAATTCCAACCTTGGTACCGTAATGTAAGTGGCGGATCCAGTATTTTCGAAGGGGGGGGGGCATATTTCCAAAGGTTGAAAGTGAATGAAGTGCTGCAGTCAGATTTGTAATATTGAGTGATAACATTATTCAGGGGAAATTGGTCAGTCAGAGGCCGGGGTGTGCCTGTGTGCACTTCTTGGATCCGGCCTTGCATGGTTGTTGAAAAGGGGCAGTCCTTGTTGAATTCGTAGGAATAGGTCATTTTTGTGTCGCCTAAACGAAGAGGTTGTCAATTTGTTGTTGGGGTGGTGGTTTTTTTTGGGGGGGGTAATTTTTTCTTTTAGTCCCACTTTTTATTTCTTTCTTCTTTTCATTATTTCTGCTTCACGTCGTGGTCCATCGTTGTGTTTTTGGACCCTCCTCTTGGCAGGTTTTCCCGTCTGCCAGATCTCAGATACGTTGCTACAATTGACCTGGCAGTAGATATCTGTTTATGCCAAGATGGTCTGCAAGTTCAAGAGTGGGCATCAAACGAGCATGGTCTACAATCGAAATTCTCATGTAACGCCCATGAGCTGGCATATTGATGTTTCTAGTGCTTTAATCTAACAGTTTGCATAGTGATCAGAGTAGTGGCAGAGTCTTGTGGGAGACAGGTTTTTATATCTTTATTTCCAAATTGGAACAAAAGCGCTCCATCTTATTCTAACAAATAACAAACGACTTAACGACATAGACCTATTTCGAATTACTTTGCTTACTTTCCACGTATAATTGCCTAATGGTGAATTCGAATGACCAAACTTACACAGCTTGAAGCTCCGGCGAATTTGGATGCTCGTTTGTGCAATTTTAATTTGAATGCCCTATTGTTGAAATTGCATGATTAAAATGTGAAATAGCATGCTTTTAATGTGAAATTGATTGGTGTTTTTAGGTAATTGAATGTTGATCTCAACGTGCATTCAAATTCGTGCGAAAGTGGGTGATTGGTCACCAATTTGGCCACCAAATCTGCTAACTTGGCCGGTAAAACCTATTTATGGACTTTGATGAAACTTAGATGCAGTGGTCCTCATGGGTGGGAAGACACCATTCTTCATTGGATTACAGAGGTCAAAGATAATCCAGGCGTCAATTGAGGTCATAAGTCATAATGGAAAACATTTGTAAATGCTATTGTTTCATAGCAACAAATACATTCCAGGAGCCAATCATTTTCTCAACTGAAAATGAACAGCTTCTGCAAGAATAACAACACAAAACTAGGAACCGACCGCAGAAAAGGTAGTTGTTACAAATTTGTCCTTAAAATGATTACAATTTTCTGGAAGTTTACTTTAAAGTAAACTCTGACTTTTAATTTGCATTTTGTTTCTTGATTAATAGATTGTACGAAGAACATGAAGAGTGCCGTATATTTTGTAGAGAATTTAAAAACAGGTCCAACATTTTCGGACCTTTACTCTGTGGGCTATACACCTTTAATATGGGTTGACGACGTCATTGGCGTTATTGATAGCGTCTTATGGGGTGAGACAAAAAGAAAATGATTAATGATTTTCACCTTAAAAAATCAATTACATTTGATACACCAACGAATCATGTATTATAACCGAGCTGCCGAAGCATGTAGTGAACCAAAATTACTGAAATTGATCCATGCTATTAGAAGTTATGCATGTTTTACTAAAACAACCAATTTCTTTGCAGCTAGCTGTCCACGGAATGCTATTTTGAAGCTGTAGACCTTGAACAAGCTGTCACCAATTCAGTAATGCTCCCTGTATCCAATAACAGTACCAAGCGCGGATCCAGAGGGGGGGGGGGGGTCAACCCCCCCCCCCCCAGCTCTGTTCAAAAAACAAATGTCCATACAATCGAATTTAAACAGCGCCCCCTATTGAAATATGGTACCAGCCCCCACCCCCCCCCAGCCCCAGTGTCCGGAGAGAAAAAAATGTGAACATTTTAAGAATTTTTTGCTGATGAACCCCCCCCCCCTGCGAAAATTCCTGGATCCGCCCCTGATCGAGTACTGAATGATAATGGGGGGTTTTTTTGTGCAAAAAGGAACCAGACTAGTTTCCTCCCAGCCTCACTTTGGTTACGTTGATTTGAATGGGAAAAATCAAGATGGCCGCAACATGATAATGGTCTATTCAGCTGAGTGAGAACCACAAATTACACGCAGGCATTTTATATACAAATGATATTCGAGTAAACACATTACTTCTACTGTCAGATTTTGTGTTCTGTATAATGAGAAACAAATCAATTTCTTTTTCTGAAATGATGATGGTCGTTTTTGTCCATTCGTTGAGGTAAGAAAATCTCCATGGTTTATTGTATTTAATGCGTATCGGTAAATGGTCAAAAGTGGACAGCTGAATTTTGTGATATTTCTAATAAAATGGAAATAACTTGTGAATAAAGAGTGAGCAAATTACGTGAAGTTTTACAGTCAACAACGTGTACTCTATATGTTATTTTCATTAAATTGAGCGAGCCACGTATTTTTCAATATTTCTTTCTGACTTGGTCACTTTCGTTTTGACTCACCCTCATGGGCGTCGCCACGATTTTTCTAGGGGGGGGGGGAGCAAAATCCTTGTACTTTCTTTGGCATATTCTCAATGTATCTTTTTTTTTCGAGGGTGGACGGAGGACATTCACCCACCCCACCCGCATTTATCTATTTATTTATTAATTACATCCCCCATTTATTTATATATTTATTACATTTCTTTACCCAGGGTTTGCCCAAACGGTTTAAAACTGGTTTCCTTTGGGGCCCTGCATATTATACACACATGTACAAATAAAATACATTACAAATACAACACACCACAATGAGTTAACGTAAAAGCATACGAGATTACTGCATGATCGTAAAGAAACTATTGGTTGGCGTAGCGCTACTTTCCTCGCCTTCCACCGCTGTGACCCGGGTTCGAATCCCGCCTGGGCCAATTATGTGGATTGGGTTTTTAGTCCCTACCTGATTCCGTGGGTTTTCTTCAGAATATTCTTCTGGGCTTTTCCTCCCACCTCTAAAACTGTAATTTCTTCTCATTGTCTCCTCTCTACAGGTTTCGTCAGGCTTTCGGGCTACAGTGCCTAGGGCACTTTTGAGGAATCCTTGGTTTCATTACTATTCAATTTCAAATAAAATTTTAAATGTTATACAACATTACCAAGAAACATAATACAGTTTGAAACGACATTGCTATAGTTTACATCCATTAACACCCCTACAGACGCCCATTGTTAAATGTGTATTAACTTAATAGCAAATATGACTTCACACCTCTTTTTCTGTGTTGTTTTTCTTCTTCTCTTTTTCCCCTTCCTTTTGGGGGTGCTTTCTGCCCACTTCCCCCTTTGCTCCATCCTGGCGACGCCCGTGCTCACGTACGGTGCAGTGCGACATCTCATGCGAGGTAACCACACCTTATAAATTCCTTTCAACCTATGTATCCACGACTGTTGTCGTCGACATTACTCCATTACTAAATTTGGGATCGTTCTGCGAGAACCATAAGCTTGGAGAATTTTAGTTTCCAAATTCCCTTTAAAAATGCCTGTAAAAAATGCAACCAAGGAATTTGCTGTTCTGAATTAATTTTGGAGAAACAAATAATCAAATCATGCTTTTGATCTTCTACAGCATGTTTGTTTATTGTGTCTGTGTGTCCTAATCTCTATCTGTTTGTCTGACCTCCAACCCCTGGCCACGCCCGAGCAGAAACTAACAACCTAATCCTCACGATCATTGTTTCCGTTCAGGTCAACAAATGCCAGTGCCACCTCGTCCCCGAACGATAGCAAGGACGAAAAAATTTACCAACTTCCTGAGATAAATTAAAGACAATGACACACTTTTTGCCCCCCTCCTCGAGCCCCTTGAAACTACCTCCTCCCCCTCTTCAATGAATCATCGAGGTCATGTAGCAGTCAACAGGATGGGTTAACTCAACAACCTTATTTGGTCTTTACAACCAGCCGTCCAGGTCTCTGAAAGGGTTTATTATAGGGGACCATGTCCAAAAATTAATGTCTTCGTGTTTCGAGCCGCAATATTATTGACTGAGAGGTGTGCACCACGCCAATCGCGGTTTGTCATGCCCTGGTTATAAAGTCTCGAAAACAGATTTTTTTTTTTTTCAAAAAAGGGTAAAACACATCGAGAACGTATTTAAAAAAAAAAAAAAGAACAAAATCATTTAATCCATTTCTTCCTGCTATACACTGTACAAAAAGATGGGCAAAGCCATATTGCTATTTATTTGATGGAAGGGATAGGGCAAATGTTCCCCTGCCAATGCTTAATTGGAAAATGATAAATTGAGAATATGTTGAAAAGGTTAAGAAATTTTGTGGGGAAATGGGCTTTGAACCCCCCCCCCAAAAAAAAATATCCTGGCTACGCCCATGTCCGCTGTAGTTGAACGAAGTAGAGCTCTTCTAAAGAAATTTTTTTTTTTCAATCTCCACTCTATGTGTTGTGCCCGCCCCCCCCCCCAAAAAAAATGCATTAGGCCTATTATTGTGCTTCGTCAACGAATTAAAAATGTCATCGAAAGTTTATTCTACCTCCATCTTTAAACCAAGTAAGTTTTATAACAATAATTTGGTCAGTTACTTTTTGGATAGCTGGATGATTTACTGTAGCTTGCTTTTCGTTTGATTTGAAATGACTACGACTAGGTAGGCCCTATACGTATACGTAATTTTGGACAAAAAATACTGTGGTAAGTGGCAATATGACTGATTGAAATGCATGTAAATTGAAACATCAATGTTGGGTAAATAGAACTTCTACAGCGACAAATGGAATTGGAATCGGAATTTACTGGAATTCAAGTGCAGGATATTACGACTGTTTTGTCGATCGATTTTGACTGATAAACAACGATTTTGTTTGGGAATTTGGAACTTTCAACATGTCTGTAAAGAATAATGTAGTATCCAGACGCCACATTCACATGTTTGCCAAATTCACATGTTTGCAACATTTTTGCAACGGCTGACCATGTGAAGAACAAGTGTCGTAGGCCTAAGGATGCAACATTCTTTCCTTTTGTGACAAAATGAGGGCGCTGTTTCAAGCCATTTTTCGGAGTATCAGACAGCGCCATTTTTAAAAGAGTGTTGTGAATGTGATGATAGCACGCAGCAAGTCTTGAAATTTGAACTCAAACTAGTCAGTACTTTAGTAGTACGAAAAATACTGCACGTGTCGTTGTTTATATCCAGGGGCAGTTTGGAAGGCCAAGACTGCTAATTACACCGTAACCTGCCGTGCTCAGGATTGCCTTGCGAAGTAAGTAGACCCACACTTTTTCGTGAATTAAGGATTCTTATCTGATATTTTACTATTAAATGCTAAAATTACTTCCGCATACAGTGCGCGTCCGCATAGAGGTACAACCATTAATCTCGATTTGTAAGACTAATGGGGATGAATGGGTACAACCGAGTAAGTAGGCCAAAAGGCCATCCGCCGAGCTCATGAATAACAGTTATGCCCTCAAATTAATCTACAGGGTGAGTAAAAAAAAAACGAAACCCAAATGTCGGGACCATTGTTTTTTTGTAAGTTCTGCATGTAACACTGTCAAAATCTGTGATATAAAAGCTCAATTCATAAGCTTTCTTTTAGAACAAGAATAATTCAAATCACTCATGTACTTTTCAAGTTACGGACTTTTAAACACAAGCACCGTTTTAAAGTTCTGTCCACGGATCACAAGAACGCAAGTGTTCTTTCAGCAAAATGGAAACAAATCATATAGGGATGTGTGTAAAATAATTGTTTTCGTTTTGCCGAAAGAACGCACACCTTTTGTGTGATCCGTCGACAGAACTTTAAAATGGTGCTTGTGTTTAAAATTCCGTAACTTGAAAAGTACATAAGTGAATTGAATGATTCCTGTACTAAAAGAAAGCTTATGAATTGGGATTTCATGTCCTAGAATTCAAAAGTGCTACATGCAGAACTTTACTAAAACAATAGTCCGGACATTTGGGTTTCGTGTTTTTTTACTCACCCTGTATATTAGAGAGTTCTGAGAGCCATGGAATTTCGGAATCGAAGACATTATGGCACTGCCACTGTATCTCTGGCCTGTACTTGGGGCTTTTTTGGGTCCGAATGTGGCGCTATATAGCCATTATGTGGAGGGATCCTTTTTTTAAATGACTATACTTTTCCAATTTGGGAACCATCTTTCTATGTAGGGGTGGTCTTCTTTGGGTGAGAATTTCTCCAAAAAATCAAAGGTCAACCAACCGAAAATTGAAAAGAACATGAAGATGACATGTTTGATCATCATTTTACCGTGCAGCCCGAATGTCTTGTGAGAGTTCTGAGTATTTTGAAAAGATTTTTGAAGTGTGTGGATTCAACACTGGTGTCTATGGGAATATGTTTGCTTGGGTGCACCCCTACAGCTTTCAATAATGTGTGCCATGCTTTAGAAGCCACGAGATTTTGCGAGAAGACTGGATTTCTCAACGTTATACGTTGGTGGCGTATAATTTGGGTGGATTTTTTTTTTTCAAGGAAAGAGATTAGCCGGTGAATTTTAATGTTGTGGTATTTAAGCACTGTAGTATGGGCCCTTGTACAAATTGATACATTTTGCAATTTGATGCAAAAATTATGTCTAAATTTAATCGGACTTTTGATCCATCAACATGCGTGCATGTGATCTGTTTCGCGCCCCAATGGTTTGAAACCTAATAACGTTAGGGTGTAGCGCCACCTACCTGAATTAGAAAGCAAGGGTACTTTGGTCACAGAGGGGAGACCACAAATTGCAAAGGGAAATGCCAAAGATGAAGTGTTCTCATCATTATTTGGGTGACCAAATCCATTTCCATGGCAACCGTGATCGATAACCTCAGGCTGAACACCTTCGATCGAGTGTCTTTCTCTGAATTGGATATTGACAGTGTTCAGCTAAACACTCCCCCCCCCCTCCCCAACACACACACACACACACCCACGCCCACATGTATTTGCCTGCAATCGGGGATCCCCTATTGTCCCTCTTTCGTTTGTACTCTAACTTTTTAGGAATACCTCCCATATGTTTTGTACACGAATACAAATAGGGGACCTCTCGGGAATTGGGGACCCTATTGTCCTCTATTGCTTAACGTCCCCTATTGAATGCAAAAGCACATACCCATCTTTTTTTTCTTACTATACTCATGAGGACCTGATGCCCTGTGTTCCCTATTGTTTGTACTTAACTTTTTCTTGAAAGCTCCCGCAAGGTTTGTACACGAAATTCTCCCGAGGACTAGTGCCCAGGTCCTCGGGCCCATTGAAATCGCACACATGCAATAGTCCCAAGTCCTCAGTATAAATGGATAACAGACCCACATTTTCCCCCAAACAATATTCAGGGGCGCATCCAGGATTTTTTGGGGCGGGGGAGGGGGGGGGTTCATCAGCAAATCAATGCTGAAATGTGGACAGGGTTTTTTTTCTCCGGACACTTTGCCTCCGTAAAATCAATAAGGGGTGGGGGGGGGGGGGGGGGGGGGTCGCACCATACTTTCAATGGGGGGGGGGGGGGGGGCGCGCTCTTCAAATCCGACAATCATCTACACTTTGTGTAGTAATACCCCCGTAACCCAGCTGGCTCTGACCAAATTCTGTGCACAGGCGGATATTATTTACAGTATAATTGTCATAATTCTTTTGGGGTGTCACAGCAGAGGGGGGGGGGTGTTCACATTTGCTGAATTTCTGTGAAAAAAATATATATATTTGAGCCAGAGCTAGGGGGTTTCCCCCCCCCCCCCCCCAGATCTGCGAGTGATATTGTGCCCCATTTTTATTTTATTCAGTCCGGTCTTTTTCAATTAATTTGCTGCGAGGGTGTAGAAATATTTGGAAGGAAGTCAACAGACGGTGGAAGGGATAGATTTAGTCATAAATGGGCGCTATATTGCAATTAACCCAATCTTATATTTTTGCACTAAGATTTAAAAGCGCTTTTACAACTCCCCCCTCCCCCCCCCCCCCCCCCCTTCAATCATCATTATTGTTGGCTAACGTGATCCCTACTACCAACGGGTATGTCCCGGATGTCTTGCAGACTGATAACTATGACTTATTTTATCATAAAGCTATCCAAAAAAGTGAAATTTAATTTCACGCTTCCAATACACAAGCGTTTGGTTAAAATAATTTGAAATTACAAGCTTATAAAAGTCAAGCAAAAAATTGAGAAAATTACAAACAAGCGTGAAATGTTGACGACCGTTTAATGCTGACAATTCTCAACAAAATCTGAGGAATTTTTTACAAACTTGGCCAGAAAAAAACCAGTTTACGAATGATCCAAGAAAATCCCATATTGTGTTTGATTTGAACAGAGCGTAATATTAAATTATTACTGTGGATAGGAGTATGACACGTTTCACCTAATCGGCTCCGTTTTCATTGACAGTCTTTTCATCTCTTTCAAATCGTTAGCTTTAATGAACTTTTTTTGTTAATGCTTTCTATCATGTAATGAAGGACAACTTGACAGAAGTTGCAATGGCGATTTCCTGGATTGATATTGAAAAATGTCGAGTGCAGCTCGACTTAAATCGTATAATATTTTGTAGTGATTTTTCTGCATGGTTGTTCCAAAGGGAACAGACCTATATGAAGTGGTGCATCATTTTTCCTTTTCCGGGAGAAACAAGTATAATCAAATCGTTTCCAAAATAAGTAAACTTTTCATTACGATGAAAGGTAAAGTCTGTTACTACGGCGGCCTTGACAACCACGTCCAAGTCAACAACTACATCTTCTTGGGGTCGGAAAATACTGTGAAAAGTTCGGAGTTATCTGAGTGTTCGGAGTGTTAAAGTTTGGCGTACGTTGATGGCACAAAAAGTCCACGAGAAAGTTACACACCAGGCCTAGAAGAGGGGACATTGATTGCTGGACACTCCATGGACGGAGCGTCTTCAATAATACACACGAATGCCAGCGGCGTAGTGCAGTCACGCAATTGCCACATTTCAGGATTTCTTCCAGGCTGAGGCTGCCGTCCAGGCACCGTACTTGACCCGTCCATGGACACACAGTCTTCGTTGCTGAAGGCGCCTGGTGGAGTGAACCACTTGCTGAAGGGAGTGGTACCCGGTGGGTAGGTCCAACCGTCGCTCCACTCGAACTGACCCTCTGTCCGCCGGTCATTGTAGCCGATCCAGAAGTTCTCCGGCGTATTGAAGACCAGCGTGTTGTACAACATGTGCACGAAGCGGTTCTCCTGCTCCGTGTGGATGGAGACCAGGTTGCCCAACCCGCTGCTGGCGCACGACGAGTAGGCGTTACAGAACTGCTCTGCCTCGTGCCAGGGCAGCTTCTGTGCCACGGGCATGTAGCAGGCGTTGTTGCCAAACGCCGTGAAGTCGTCCGGGCACTGTGCGGCTGCAAGGGCGGCCAGAGTCAGCAGCGACACGACCTGTAACATCGCCATCTTGTCCTCAGTGTAAGGTGAAAGAGTGGAAATGATGCGGCGAAGTGGACTTCTCACAGACGGCACACGACCTACCGGCAAGCGCCTCGTCACAAGAATGGTGAGGTATCTCTATTTTGAACCGTCGAACTCACCGCCCGTAGTAAGAGTCCACCGTTCGGCTATCGATTCTCACTCTCCTTCATCACGATGAGGGCGTGGACAAGGGCCAAGCCAATGTAAAATATGTAAATATTATTCAAATCAGTCCATCCACCTCGACCTGCCGTGACGAGGCCATGCTGACGTCACGATGTCAAGGGTGAGATATCCCTGGCTGGCCCCAGCCTCATGAATCACTCACTTCTGATTTCCGCTGATTATTGGATGACGGAAATAGTGGGCGTGACGAAGATGAGGTCAGCGTTATTGTCAAAAAAAAATAAGACAGCCCGCACCCTCTTATCCTTAAACAAAATATAGAGAAAAGCCGCAGCATCCCTGCAGCTCGTGGAGTTTCATTTTGGTCAAATTGGCTTCAAGCTTGCATTGCCCCCGCACGCCACTAGCATCCCGAATAGTCATTTAGGTGCCTTGTGCGTCTACTCAAGGAATATTGAGACCGAATTGAACGGCAATGGAAAGGTTGCGGGTTCCAATCCCCTTATAATCTGGATTCCCTCAATTCCATTCTTCTATACTTTATTCCCATGCTTGTCCTACACTGATTTGCGTCATCTTATCCTAAAGATGATTGATGTATACCGCAGAATTTTTGGCTTGTGTTATGTTTCATTTTAAATCGTTGGTGTTACATTGTGTTGGTTGAAGATAAATAGTAACATGGGATATAACTGTAACTTGTGTGTTTATGCAGACATTTCGAATTTTGACGACATCGTATGCGTTAATACCGAATATAACCTGGACTGACATTATGTTAATGAGATTTTTGTTGACGAATCAGGCTCTAGCCTGAGTGGTGCATAATTCTCGGTTCTGCACATGCGCATAGACCCGTTGAATTTCGTTTAGCTGTGGATAGGAGGGATCGATAAGGCCGGGCGGTTACACTGCAGCCGACCAACCACTTCGACACTCGGCACCCAAGTTTTTTTTGCGCTAGTCCCGGCTTCACCCTCAAGATGAAGCTGCTAATACTAACCTGCCTCACGCTATGCTTGGTGGCCTGTGAGGCTCAGCTAACCTGTCCAACCTACTGGACCCGCAACGGCAATAGCTGCTACCGAACCTTCGGTCTGGCGCAGACTTACATGCGAGCCAATGACGTGTGCCAGTTGTTCACCTCGTGCGGCTCGACCGGTACGAGCACCGGGCAAGGGCACCTGGTCTCCATCAACTCTAAGGAGGAGAACGATTTCGTGTTCAGCTTCCTGGCCGGCCGCTACGGCGAGATCCCGCCACCGCCGGGCTGGCTAGGCCTGAGCGACTACGACCCAGAGCAGGGCGGCCAGGGCAACTTCCGGTGGGCCGACGGCACCATCCCCGGGTCCAGCACCTTCTCGGCCTGGGCCAACAACGCCCCGCGGCAGAACGGCAACATAAACTGCGCGGTATTCGGCGAGATGATCCTGCCCCGGTGGATAGACATTCCCTGCGAGGAGGAGCTACCGTACATCTGCGAGGTGGCGGCCAGCGTCGATGCCTGCTCGGCAGCCAGCATGCCACCCGCTACCAACCCCCCTCCTTCACCGCTGCTGACGAGTCCCAATAAACCTAAGACCATTCGCTATTCCAAAAAGCACAACAAGTACTCAGAACCAGTTTAGGCGGGCTAAAGTAATTTGGAGTGACTCTGAATAACATTTGCTACGTCCAGTGATTTGATCCCCTTCTTCGAAGTCAGGGTTCCGGACTACAAAACAAGACGCCAGCCCCTTCATCTACTAAGTCCAACTTGTGACATGTTCAGACCTAAAAACTGACAAGAATAACTACATGTATAATAATATTTGTTTTCGTCGAGGCAGTTTTTGTTTTGCTCGTTTTACGGATTTGAACTTAACAGGTATGACACCTGACCCATGACCCGGATTCATCACATGAAACGTTGATTTCAAAGTTGATCATCTTACTTGTTCATTTAAGATCTTTTTTTAAATGATAAAAGTGATTAAAAAGGAATTTTAATACCGATTTGTTGATGAAAAACGAATAAATTCAACCAACCCTTTACAATGGGAGTAGTTTATCTATTGTGAAGAAGTCATTGATTTGTTGTTTATATGGGGAATGCATCGTAATGTACCGTGTAATCTCAATGCTAGCCCTATGTCAGAATTTCAATGAGCTGCCTCGCAGAAAGTTATGCCCTGCAAAATTTCTCGCGAAGCAAAAATCAACTTTGGACTCGATCCAAGTAATGAAGGGCAACACCTGGCATGTTATTAAGTGAAGAGCAAATTTGCTTGCTTAGTACCTCCACGCATTTGTCCCAAAGTGGTTTTGATTCTGTTTTGGTGTAAACAATCCTGGCCCCTGTGTATCTTGAAAGCAAAAAAAATGAATGAAAAACCACAGAAAAGTCTACTTTTACTCTAAACCCTGTAAATTTACCTTCTAGGAAAATATCGCCACCTCAGCCACGCACAGTGTGAATGCAATGTCGATTTAGTGATTGAAATTGTATTTCAGACTGTTTGGGCGTATAAAAGAGTCATGGGGGGGTCTAGTCGCGCCAATGCACACCCTCATTGCAGTATATTCGATTCAAATATGCTGAAAATGCAACCTCAACCTCAACCTAGAAGACGGCAGATATCCCCCCCCCCCGACTCCCACGGCCCTGTCCATCTACGGCCGACTCCTAGTGTCCACGATTGGGTATTAAAGCGTACAGTCGAAAGTCGTGAGCTATAGTTCATATCAATCCCCATTTGGCAAATAACTTGACAAGATAAGGGGATTCAAATGGCAATTCCTTTGGGTCGATATCGCCCTCAATTAAATTGGAACACGGCCGGATAGGCGGATACCAACCGTCATAAATTTAGAACGCAAACTATGGCGCAGTGACTGAATAGTTTTCGAGTTCTCACTTTGTAGAATGTTCTTTCTTTTTTGCCATCACCAGGGGGTGTTTTAGTTTGTGAAATTATACGTTGCTGTGTTTTTCTCGGGTCGTTTTCGAGGTCACTTGTGGAGGGTGGGGTGCAAGCAGGTCAGCGAGTCAAACACCCAAGTACTCTGTCCCTTGGGTTTCTCAACCGATTTCCGTGCTTGATTAACATTATGGAAATATGCATGGTTATGAATATTCATTGCTCACGGTTTTCCTTTGACCTCGGGTCAAAATCGTGATGGGTCCGGAAAGGGGGATGAATCGGGGCACTCGGTGATTCCAAGATGGCAAATCTCTGGCTGGCACGGTGAACGTATGAGTCAGACATCGTCCGATTGGCCACAATTTCCGGCCCAGCGCTTTGCCTCTACAATCACAATGTGTTTTTGGCCTCGGCGCTAAACCAGGCAAGCTGCTCTTAATCTTTGAGCTCTTTCAATACGGAAGGCGCACCTGGAAATTCAGGGATCATCCCAGCCAAACTCGTCCAAACTTTGTCACAAAATGAGAAGACTATAGCATGCCAACAAACATTACAAAAAAAGATGAGGCATCTGCTATGTGCCATTTCCAAATAAATTCTCAGATGTTCGTTCTTTCAGAAAAGTGAGTAGTGAGTAGGCCCTATACTCTAAAGTAGAGTGAGGTTTAGTAGGCTGTCAATAAAAAAGTAAATCTGTAATGCTCAAACCAACGCAAAATAAAATCTGTTTGAAACGATTTTGGACCTTGGAATATCTTGTCGTTTGTACATGACGAAAACTAAAATTAAAGGGAATATACATCATTTGCTTTGCTTTAATTTTCAGAAATGGATGGAATTGGGGGGTTGGAAATATAAAGCAAATATAGTTACACTGACTTTTTGAGGTTTTGGGTTCGAAAATGCTATAAAAACCAAGAAAAACGATCATTTTCCCGTAGTCTGGTTCCCTGACTCCATATAAGAAGAAACAGAGCAGTTTACATACATTGGGGAATTGTAAGGTCAGGGAACCAGTCTAGCTGGCTCGTACCCGTTCATAGGTTTGTAATCGATTGCAAACAAGTGCAATGGTCAATTGGGGCCAGTATTTGAAAAAAAGCCAGTTGTTTCCAACGCTGATCGGCCGATCAGCGTTGGAAATTGATACAAAAATACCACTTTTCTTGAAAATGACAGTATACCAGATGCCATAATTTTACTGGATGCTTTAGACTGTCATTTACCAACATCCTATTAAGGTTTTTCGCAAAAACTTGGTAGTTTTATTTTTCGATATTTGCAAATGTTGTATATTCCCTTTAACTATGCTATTATTCATGTTTGAAACATTTTTAGTCGATGAAGCCTTCACATATAATTAGAAACCCTTTCTATTTCCTGTTTACATTAGTTAATCATTAACATGGGCTAAAATCGGCAAAACCTCCAAAAATATTCGTGCCACGCACAAAACAGCTACCTTTCTTTTTACAAAACAGGTTCCGTAAACAAGCTGAAGGTGTGATTATTTATGACGGAAATATCAGCTAGAAATACATTGAAACGGACTTCTGCATCAAAAAAAAACCAGCCGAGGGTGAGATGACGGAATGCCCAACAAGGGTCAAACGTAAGGTCACAGTGACCACGCCCACCGGCAACTCTTGACGAATCATGTAGCGTCACAGGTTAAGCAAGCACGCACGCGCAGTCCATCCACCTCCCATCAAGTCCATCCAACACCCAACATGCACAACATCGAACTTTTTGGAGTCGCCTCACTAGCACTGCGGACTACAGTCAGCGACTAGCACTGACACTCCGTGTGCCTTCTCGTCAAGCCATTTCCCCCATCCATATTTTCTGCTTCTGCTGACTGTGTTGCCTTCGATACACGATGAAGGTACTAGCGTTGCTGGTGTGCTTGCTGGTTTACGTTGGGTGTTCGGAGGCACACGTCTACGAGCCATGTCCTGCGGGTTGGATGAGCTTCGGCTCGTCCTGCTACCGATATTACGGCCAGGTCACCAACCAGATCACGGCTGAGAACATCTGCAGGCAGTTCTCGGGCTGCAGCGGGGGCATCGGCCACCTGGTCTCCCTAAACACCGCCGCGGAGGACACCTTCATCTTCAATTACATAAAGGGCCTGACGGGCACCAACATCCCGCCGCAGTCCTGGCTGGGCGCCCGCAGGATGCCGGGCTCCAGCCGCTGGATGTGGAGCGATGGCACGGAGATCACCTACAGCACGTACAACGGCTTTCCCGGTCAGAGCAACCCGTCTGACCAAGGCAGGAATTGCATGAGCTATTCCCCCGAATCTCCACAGCCCCAGTGGTTGCATATCAACTGCGCTGCTCAGAGTCTTCCATTCATGTGTGAACTGCAAGCCAATATTCCCGATCCGGTGACCTGTCCCACTGCTGGCAATAATCCTACCGGCCAGAACCCGATGTCCCCACTACGGGCCCTGCCCTATCGCTACAACAAGAAGGGGAACATGGAACAGCGGCACTCAGGTAGACAATAAAGAACTCGGACATACTACCCTAAACTAACACTAACTTTGTAGCAGATACTTTTTTCTCTCCACCAACAAGGAGGCAATGCAAGGCTCAGCATCTCTCCATACCAAACGAACATTCGCCGCAGTAACATTTTTGGCTAGTTTTCTACAGTAAGCTGCAGTAGTTGCTCGGAACGTTGTGGCATGAACCCTCACCTCATAACGAACTTTGACCTGACTTGAAACTTTGACCTTGCAACATGAGATGTTGAACTTGAATTAGGCCTACCGGATTAGGCGCACCTGGAAATTCAGGGATCATCCCAGCCAAACTCGTCCAAACTTTGTCCCAAAATGAGAAGACTATATCATGGCAACAAACATTACAAAAAAAAATAAAATCTGTTTGAAACGATTTTGGACCTTGGAATATCTTGTCGTTTGTACATGACGAAAACTAAAATTAACTATGCTATTATTCATGTTTGAAACATTTTTAGTCGATGAAGCCTTCACATAATTAGAAACCCTTTCTATTTCCTGTTTACATTAGTTAATCATTAACATGGGCTAAATTCGGCAAAACCTCCAAAAATATTCGTGCCACGCACAAAACAGCTACCTTTCTTTTTACAAAACAGGTTCCGTAAAGAACCCGATCCAGAACCCGATGTCCCCACCACGGGAACTGCCCTATCGCTACAACATGAAGGGGAACATCGAACAGCGGCACTCAGGTAGAGCATAAAGAACTCGGACATACTACCCTAAACTAACACTAACTTTGTAGCAGATACTTTTTTCTCTCCACCAACAAGGAGGCAATGCAAGGCTCAGCATCTCTCCATACCAAACGAACATTCGCCGCAGTAACATTTTTGGCTAGTTTTCTACAGTAAGCTGCAGTAGTTGCTCGGAACGTTGTGGCATGAACCCTCACCTCATAACGAACTTTGACCTGACTTGGAACTTTGACCTTGCAACATGAGATGTTGAACTTGAATTAGGCCTACCGGAGCCGAGGTTCAAACTGTGAGCCTGACATCGAGGACCCTAGGTTAAAAACCTCATTGATGCCTCACTAACATATTCAATGAGAGCCCGCATAAAATTATCTTGTGTTTAATGAAATAAACCAATCGATATTCATACTTTTAAACCCTTACCCTAATTATTTAATATGTACCTAAACAAAATGGACACACCACTGGTGAAATTCTTGAGGTAAAAGACTACGACAAATACGGTGCTACCCTACTGGCAGCAGTGATGTTTATGAAATCCATTTGTGAATGTTTATTTGAAATTATGTGACGCTGAAAACACCCATTTGTCGGGAATAAAACGACCGGTCTCAGATATAAAGTTCCGTTTCAGACCCCAAGGTGCACTGTAAGAGTTCAGTGTTTGTTATTTGTTTCTGGGGGATATGGTATTTCTGTGGATATTTGAGAATATAATAGTTAATAAAGTTTGAAAAAGGCGAAGAAATGATCTGTTGTCATCGTTTTATGGTAGGCATAGGCCTATACGGCGCCCCCTTCGTCAAGCATTAGTTTGAATCCGTATTCATAAATACCTCAGACAGTTTAGCCATTTCTATTGGTCGAGAGCCCGTCACGTGGCCGGTATTAAACGGATGATAAAGACATGGCTAGCTGGTCTTAAACACTTTTCCAGTGTCACAATAAAATGTGGACTCCTAAAAATCCAGTGCCTCTTATCGTTTAATTGGTTGAACGTTCACAATCCTCACGTCGGCATGCGCAACATTACCAGGGAGTTAGAATTTTATAGTTCTAAATTCAAAACGCAACGCGCCAGGTGCATTCTGCGCGACATCGCATAGAACATGATACGCGCGCGTCAATCTCCATAAAAGGGTTGTTTTCATCTTACTCGCCAGCTGAACACTCCATTATTTTGCAGGAGGGATGATTCAAAAAGCATAAAGTGAATTTGTTGAACAAAATCGGGATGTTTTGAACGAATTATATGATTTTTTTTTTACCGAAAAGGTATTTATGAATGGGAATAAATATGTACTCCGTCGGTATTTATCACTCTGTTTAATACCACTTAGAGTCTGGGTGCTGATAATTACCCTCGCCTCCGGCTCGGGTAATTATCAGCACCCAGACTCTAAGTGGTATTAAACAGAGTGATAAAAACCGACGGAGCACACATTTATTCCCTTAATCAAACTGATAAAGAGATAAAAACAAATGTAGGCGGCCGGGGTGGGAGGGGGGCCGGGTGGGGGGAGGAGGGGATGCGGCCGAACATTCCCCAGAAGTGATTGTCTCTTAAAAAAAAAAACTTTCCATTCGCTCATACCCCCCGCCCTGCAAACAGGACGCTGGGATACTCTGATGAATTCACGCTCTGATTGGTTGGATTTTGCGTGACCAGTGACCTGCGCGTCATCAAGGTCATGACTCTGCAAGGTTTGAAACGGCCGTTAAGACTGATTCATTCATTGAAAAACGTAATAATGTAGGAAATTCTGTAAAACTAATAACTGTGTTGTAAATTTACAATTCCCGTCACTTGCTCAGGCTCCGTTTCGAATCACGAACGCATCATGCGACGCATAAAATTTTGTCATGGTCCGCAATGAAACAGAAATCACATCCGGTATGGAATGTGCGCATTTCTATGGGAAGTTTTCGGATAGCATTTGCGCACATTGTCTAGCTAACTGCGGTCTTGAACAGCTGCAGCCAAATGCTTTATACATATAGGTCAAAAGGCCACTTCCTTCACAAGATTCTGTGACGCTCATCAGAGTATCCCAGCGTCCTGTTTGCATGAGGGAGGTACGAGCGAACGCTTTCCAGCGCAGCGCCCTCAATGAGAATACCCGGTAGGTGTTTTAAACGCAGCCGGTGTGAAAGGTAATTCTGTCCCCCCTGGTAAATGTGTCCCCCCGGACACATTAACCGGCTCGTGACCCGGTGAATGTGTCCGGGGGGACACTTTTACCTGGTAAATTTGTCCCCCTCCAGGTAAAAATGTCCCCCTGCCCAACGGTGAAAGTGTCCCCCTGGTAAATGTGTCCCCATGCAGTATGTACTGAGCAGCAGCGTGTCTCAGCTCACGCACCAGTATATGCTGCAAGATTTGAGGCAGTGATTATAACATGTGTACATATGCGTGTCCCTCTACAATGGAAATTCGTCCAATAGGAAATTTTGTTACGCGCTATTATGGGAACACAGACCAATCCAAGGAGACGTTGTATCATACTATCAATGAGACGAGGGCCATCGCCATGCATCGCCGCTGTGTTGACCTATCGCGGTAGAATCGCGATAGACTTCACCGTACTCCGAATCGAAAATTGTGTTCACGTATCATCTAATAGACTAAATTAAGTATTTTTTATATTCATGCAGGGCAGACTAAAAGTCCAAAATGTATACCTCGTAGAGTGAATTCATCAAAACATTAACCTTCCGGGTTTCAAAAGAGGGGGACAAAAAAACCTGGGGGCCGGGACAGAATTACCTGGAGGGAACAGAATTACCTGGAGGGGAACAGAATTACCTGGAGGGGGACAGAATTAACGGGCCAGGGAGGACACTTTTACCTAGGTAATTCTGTCCCCCCGGACACTTTTACCGGGGGACAGAATTACCTTCCACACCGACACCCCCTTAACTCGAAGCCGGCATCATACCTCGAAGAGGGCGCTTTTGATGATGTCCAATTGTCCAGGGTGCCAAGTGACTCATGAAGTCGCCCTAAGTTGTACTGTATATTTGCTGCTGTACATTTAAGAGCGATCGAGAGACCACATTTTTTTAGCAAATGGGGGCGCTCTTATATAATACGACGCCACTGATTTGGTGCGTTCGTTTAGACTCGACACGGGTCAGCTGCCGTTCGAATAGCTTATGCCGGGACTCACCCGGGTCAGCCACCACAGACCCTGCTCGTGGAGCAGAGTCACTGGTGGAAGTACGTCTCGCATGTGTTGGTCATTCCCTAGAAACGGACAAATATGGCGGCCGGACAGCGGAAATCTCCAGTGGACTGAAAAGTTTACTTTAGCAGCTTCTGTCGTTTGCTCGTACCCCCGTCCTGCAAACAGGGCACTGGGAAGGGCTGATGAGCTTCACATAATCTTGTGAAGGAAGTGGGGATGGCATACTGTTTATTTTTCCATGACCTATTGTATAAAGCATCTGGCTGCAGCTGTTCAAGACCGCAGTTAGCCAATGCGCGCAAATGCTATCCGAAAACTTTCTCCTAGAAATGCGCACATTCCATGCGGGATGTGATTTTTTTTTTCACTGCGAACCAGGTGGACAAATCTTTGAATTTTTGTGAATTCGAAACGGAGCCTGAGCAAGTGACGGGAATTGAAAATTTACAACAGAGATAAGTATTACATATTTTCTCAAATAATTACGCTTTTCATTGCACTATAATGAATTGGAATAAAAGAGTAATGGCTCAGTTTTGATGGCCGTTTAAAACCTTGCAGGGTCGTGCTCGAGATGACTTGCAGATCACAGGTCACGCGAAATCTATCCAATCAGGGCGTAAATTCATCAGCCCTTCCCAATCCCAGCGTCCTGTTTGCAGGGCGGGAGGTACGAGCGACCTTTTGTCGTTCCAAGCAGCTTCTGTCGTTGATGGCGCTGCTGACTGCTAATGGCCGCGCGAAAGTTCGAGCGAAATGAAGTTCCTCAGTTGCACGTGGAGAGCTTTACCCTTTAGGCCTATGTGTAACAGGGGTTACAATGACCTTGACACAATATTTTTTTACATCTTATTCTGCAAAGTGACTTGATTAAACGGTCACAATAAATGATAACTTGAGCTCAAACTATGAGAAGATGACCATGGTTTAACACCGTGAGCTATTTCACGCAGATGAGATGAGAGATATATATAAGTTATACACACAATATTATTAAAACCATTTGCACAATGATGATATTCAGGAATCATAAGAGTGTAAGTTGAGTACTCTTTAGGCTCAAATAAGCTGCTGTACAGAACGTATTACAGACATTACGATCCTGAGTACTTGGTGTCTCTGCGAGCAATTCAACCCCAAAACTCGGTCATTGGCAGGAAATTTGAGGAAGCATACACGACATTGACGACAATTGAAGGCTGTATCAGATATTCAAAATCCGGCACATCAAACATTTGGACTTTATCAGTGTCCAAATAACCCCGTCCAAAACCTCTTAAAGATGCGCGAAAAGACAGCAACCAACCTAGGATGGCTTCTTCGATTGTGTCATAAAGTCTTCGAATGTGTCATCTTCTAAGTATTAAAACCGATCATGCAAACAAGGTTGACTGTTTCGAAAAATATTTCTCGCCCATTCTTGTGATGCATGGGATGAGTTGTGGTAGGATGGAACGCCGTATTATCGCGGTACTTATCACGTTTCTCGTTCGGAATAGAGATTGCCCACTAACCTTCCAGAATTGTCCTGTCTTATGTGTAGTATAACTCTTCCTTTTTAAATTAATATAAAAAAATCTGACGGGTGGTGTGGTTTATTCCGTGTACGATGCCTGTGAAAATAGACATGCGCGGCGTGTGCGAACGGAGGTGGACTCCCTATTATCGCGGTATGCGGGAGTTGGTTTTTATAATGATCCCAACTTTTTTGTTCATAGTTTATGTTTGACCAAACACCCCCTGAATAAAGTCTGATATTTTCCCTGTAACGTTCAAGTTGATTAAAGACAAAATGTCTGCAGGATGATTTCTTAAAGGGAATATACATCATTTGCTTTTGCTGTAATTTTTAGAAATGGATGGGATTGGGGGGTTGGAAATATAAAGCAAATATAGTTACACTGACTTTTTGGAGGTTTTGGGTTCGAAAATGCTATAAAAACCAAGAAAAACGATCATTTTCCTGTAGTCTGGTTCCCTGACTCCATATAAGAAGAAACAGAGCAGTTTACATACATTGGGGAATTGTAAGGTCAGGGAACCAGTCTAGCTGGCTCGTACCCGTTCATAGGTTTGTAATCGATTGCAAACAAGTGCGATGGTCAATTGGGGCCAGTATTTGAAAAAAAGCCAGTTGTTTCCAACGCTGATCGGCCGATCAGCGTTGGAAATTGATACAAAAATACCACTTTTCTTGAAAATGACAGTATACCAGGTGCCATAATTTTACAGGATGCTTTAGACTGTCATTTACCAACATCCTATTAAGGTATTTCGCAAAAACTTGGTAGTTTTATTTTTCGATGTTTGCAAATGTTGTATATTCCCTTTAAGACCCTGCCCTTCCCCCGAAAGGAGAACACAAATCCCTAAGGCAAGTCTACTGATCGGCGATTGAGGGCGCCATTCACTTTGCACGGTGTGCCGTTTTATTTTCGCTAACGCGCGGTGCTTATTTTGATCCCGTAAAAGTTGTTACGATTTCGCGCTGCAAATATCGTCGTTCGACTTCATTTTACATTTGCAGCTGAAGAATGGGAACCAGACAATGGAACTTTAATGGACAGAGCGCAATTAAAGATTTATGTTAAAATATAAACGGTACCTTTTAGCAGACACGGTGAGGGAAAATTTTGCAAGTTTTGGAAAACGTTAATATTTATTAAAATCGTTAAAAGTCCCGAAAGACACAACATTTTTTAATCGTCCTTTTTATACAACTCGGTGGAAAATCCTTGATGACTGGTGAACTGGATAAAAATCGCCACTTGAAGGAGTTTTGACACTGTAAAAAGAGAAATTTCCCATGCCGCGATAATAGGGATGCCGCGATAATAGGGGGTCCGACTATACATGGTGCTTTCCCTTGCAATGCTCCACTGTATTCTCCACCATTGCTGTCCCTCGCCTTTCTTGCCCCATTTATATTAAGGGGCCGAGCCGACGGTCGTCTCTCCCTCCTCCTCATGTTATACTGGTCTTTCTCTCCTATCCATCACCACGGCACCGCCCAAAGGTCTGTCTTCCAGGCAAGGCAGGCCGCGATCAACGTCCCTCTTTATGGAGGTAGCATAAAATGGCGCGACAGTAGGAGCGCGTGATGAATATGCATGACTATGACGTCACTAGAAGCTCATGAGTAATATATCACGAACGGTACTGATAGATATACATGTAGATGCACACTGTATGTACTAATCCCACCGATGATATCACATTTAACAAGTCCTCTTTCTACTGTCGCGCCGCCACCCTCTAGTGTCGTCCCACTTACCGATGATATCACATTTAACAAGTCCTCTTTCTACTGTCGCGCCGCCTCCTCTAGTGTCGTCCCACTTGATGATCATCAGTTAGTGGGGCAACAGTAGAGGGTGGCGGCGCGACAGTAGAAAGAGGACTTGTTAAATGTGATATCATTGGTAAGTGGGACGACACTAGAGGGTGGCGGCGCGACAGTAGAAAGAGGACTTGTTAAATGTGATATCATCGGTAAGTGGGACGACACTAGAGGGTAGCGGCGCGACAGTAGAAAGAGGACTTGTTAAATGTGATATCATCGGTAAGTGGGACGACACTAGAGGGTGGCGGCGCGACAGTAGAAAGAGGACTTGTTAAATGTGATATCATTGGTTAGTGGGACGACACTAGAGGGTGGCGGCGCGACAGTAGAAAGAGTGACGTCATAGTCATGCATATTCATCACGCGCTCTACTGTCGTGCCATTTTATGCTACCCTTTATGGATCGCCAACTCGTGGCAGGGCAAGGCGCCCTCTGCATGCATTATGGACATTTCTTAATCGATAAAAAGAATGGGGGCGCTCTTCGCACTATGCGGGACATTCAAAATGGCTGCGCCCATGGCAAAAATATTTCCGTCTGTTCAATTCCCTTTACCAACAAATGGCTCAGACGAAAAAGATTCAGAGTATGAATTTCGAAATGCTGTATTTATGATTCAGTCGCCATTGAAGTCACGTAGGTGCTTACTGACGGGTAAGCATGGGAGGTAGGTAGAACGGTTAGAACTTGAAGTTGGCAACCAGCACTGACTGACTGAGCATACATGTCCATTTGTACTCCTACTAGTCCTAGAACTATGTAGTCCGAGTAACTTGGACCCAACTTATCGCCTTTTTTAACATTTGGACATGGTCTGACGTGCAGAACTAACATAGGTGGATTCTGTCGGTTTTTAGGCCAAAATGATGAATAATATGCCCTTTCCGCACTGAGCAAACCTGACACTTGAAACGTGCACGCATATGATGGAGCGATGATTTTTGGTTCACTCGGAGCGCGCTGCGGGGGGTACGGTACACTTGAAACGTGCACGCATATGATCGAGCGATGATTTTCGGTTTGCTCGGAGCGCGACGCGGGGGGTACGGTACAGGCGAAATGATAGTATGTGCATGCGTACAAGTGCATGTACCGTAACCCCCGCGGCGCGCTCCAAGCGAACCGAAAATCATCGCTCGATCATATGCGTGCACGTTTCAAGTGTCAGGTTGGCTCAGTGCGGAAAGGGCATATTTTTCATCATTTTGGCCTAAAAACTGACAGAATCCACCTATGTTAGTTCTGCGCATGATACGTGAGTATGTCAAGAGATAAAGTACGGAGTATAGGGGCAAACTGTGCAGCGGTTCTCCATTTTGATGGACGTTTTTGTATTTTATTAGTGTTTTGTGCTGCAGGCAATTTTGCGGGCTTCTTGATCTCACATAGTTCTAGGAGTACACTGAGCAAGTGCGCAGCCCTAGTCCGGCTAGACCCATGAACGTGGCCCGTTGTAAACTACGCCACGCTGTTGTGTATTTCTGAACCTGGCGAAATTGTCCCTCTGACTCCCTCCATTACACACACTGGACGTTATTTTGCAAATGTAATAGGTACTCACATATGAAGCTGTCTTGAAATCTGTTTGTACACCAAAACTTGCATTTGACGAAATTTGAGGAAAATTCTGGCACCGGTCTATAAGTCCTGCTAGCTGCCATTTTCTCCCAAGTGACGCATGCGCATTGCGTTTTATTGTACCGTCCTTCGTATAATTCGACGGCTGTTTACTGTTGCAGCTAAAAGAGACATCGTTTTAGACAAGTTTCAAGTCCTTTTCCTCTCGGCGCGGGCGCACGTGCGCCCTCGTGCGTGTGCGCACACATACACGAGATGAGCCGAGCAGCCAATCGGGTGCGGTTTTTTTTTTCGGGGTTGCGACATGAAACAGCAGTCAATCTGTCCAAGCTACTCGTCCGGGGTCATTTGTCAGGGTCACTTGTCGGGTTAAAATGAAATTTCTACACGTTCGTATGGGTCTTTACTGATGATGGGCAAATTTCTTCGAAATTACACAGCCTAAACAATCGGACGGGCAAATTTAGATTTCTAGGTGAGTACTCAACACCCATACCGAATTATGTATGTCGGATCGATTTCGCTAGGTTTTAAAATACACAACAACGTGGCGTTGTATACAACGCCACGTTCACGGGTCTATAGCCCGGCCTACGCACACACGTGTACATAGGGAAGCGTACTAGTCCCATAAATGTGACAGTAATACTGGACTACCTCCGTATTAACCGTCACACGTCCCATCTGTGGTCTGAGCGGCTTAGCGCAGAAAGTCCGTTGCTAGGGGAGCCGAACAGCAATTTGAAATTGCAACTATTTTGTCACTTTACACTCGCACACGGCACAATGCCATCTACAACTGCTGAATATCAACAAAACGTGAAATTCTGCACCTTCAGAGGTCTAGTTATCTTGTGATTTCTAGTTGAATTCGGACGACTTTTGCTGCCATTGTTCACGAAAGCGTTGTGTTGCATGACGTCATGGGTTATTTGATAATCGCACCCTCACTAGCTTGCTTCAAATTTTGGCAATGTGCATTGGTAGGCCGAGTAACTTGGACCCAACTTATCGCCTTTTCTAACATTCGGACGTGGTCTGGCGATAGTAAGGTCCAAGCTAATAGTGCGAGCTTGACAACATCATCCTGTCACTGTCCCAAAAACCAACATTTTCCAACAAAAAACATCAGATTTCAACCCTCAAAACGGCTTCCAAATTACTAGATATGCCACCTGTCAAGTAGACATCGATGATTAAGGTGGTTGTACTGAAGTTTACTTACGATCCAGAAGGAAAGTGAAATTTCCCGTTCAATTCTGAGAGCGAACACGTTAAATTTCCGACTCGCGCCCAGCATACATTCGATGGTCTCCGAATCCCGAGTGCGATTCCGTTACCGAGCGCGCGCAATGCATCGATTATGATAATGAGTCACGTTTGTAAACACAAGTGCATTTCGAACTGTAAAAGGGAATCGGGAACCAGCTTGAACTGGTATCTGCCATAAAAGCTGCGCTAGTTCCCGACTCCCTATTATCGTTCGAAATAAACATGTGTTTACAAACGTGATCCAGTCTAACGAAGTTAATATGGATCAGTACCTCCCAAGCAGATAAGCTCCCATGCTCTTGTGCCAATCCAGCGATGCATTGGTTCTAGGAGTACATTGGTACGGCTGTTGCCTGTCCTTCAGTTTTGGTCAAAAGTGCGCCCGCATACATGCCGATGGAGAGAAGCCTTCTATAGTGGGATATGTGACGGTTAATACGAAGTAGTCCGAGTAACTTGGACCCAACTTATCGTCTTTTTAACATTCGGACAACACAATTTTGTCCTTGACCCAAAAACCCAGCATTGCCCAACAAAAACATCAGATTTCACCCTCAAAATGGCCTACAAATTACTAGATACGCCACCTGAAGTACAAGTAGACATCGATGATTAAGATGGTTGTACTGAAATTTACTTACGATCCGGATGAAAAGTGAAATTTCCCGTTCAATTCTGAGAGCTCCCCTCGTGATCGTGAACACGTTAAATTTCCCGACTCGTGTTAATGTTTGAAAGATACAATGTGGTCTTCATGCCCAACGTACATTCTTATGGTCCCCGTATCCCGAGTGCGATTCCATTACCGAGCGCGATGCATCGATTATGATAATGAGTAGACTGGATCTCGTTGGTAAACACAAGTACATTTCGAACGATAATAGGGAGTCGGGAACTAGGGCAGCTTTTATGGGCAGAAACAAGTTCAAATTAGTTTTGAGGGTGACATCTGATGTTTTTGTTGGGCAATATTGGGTTTTTGGGTCAAGGACAAAATTGTGTTGCTTGGCATGTACGGATTAGCTTGGACCCTACTATCGCCAGACCATGTCCGAATGTTAAAAAGGTGATAAAGTTGGGTCCAAGTTACTCGGACTAAATACGGAGGTAGTCCAGTATTACTGTCACATTTATGGGACTAGGAAGCGTACATACCAGATCAACATGCACACGTAAAACGTCTGTCGATGGCAGCCAGGGAAAAATGCCGTACTGGGCCACCACTTTCCTCAATTAATTTACAAGCGCCAAAAAGTTGCATCCTTTATGGTTATTCCCACTCTCTCCTTTTCTTTATTCCTATTTATTAATCAGTCGCTTACTTCATTGAGATTGGAACCTCGGACTTTCGTTTGAAGCACGAGACCTATACCACTAGGCCGTACACGATCGCTGTTACAATAATCAATCTTTTGACGTATTTAAAGTAGGCCTTTCCATTGAAATAAGACTAATGAATTTAAATACACTAAATATTCATGAGAAATTAAATATTCATAATGACGTATTGCATCATTGGCTGGCTCATGCGTTGTCGATGTCATGTGTAACGTACCGCTAGACTTCCAGACACTTCAATCACTATGGCCAGGTGCCTCCAACTAACTAAGTTCTGCACAACGTGTGCATCCACAAGGTGCTCTAAAAACACATTTTGGAAAAAATGTTTTCGAACCTGACGCCACTTTTTTCTTCATATATCATCTCAATGAAGGTCAGTCGTTGCAAAAATGATGATAATACATGAATCTGGGACTGAGAAATATTTCCAATTTTGTTACTAATAATGTTAGGAAATACTTAGAAACTTATCTTGACTCTCCATAGACTTTGTAGTTTGTACACAACCGCTGAAGTGGCGTCAGGTTGCAACATTTTTCCCCACATTTTTCCTAAATATTATTAACAGTGCCGGAGCTTTCTGGATTCGTCTGGGGTGAAATGGCAAAGTGAGGTGAAAATTGATGTGTTTGGCGGCAGGTAAGTGGTGGCCCAGTACAAAATTTTTTTCCGCAGCGATGACCCTAAAGCTGTGTCGTTGTGTTCTGCAAACCGATCATGTAGCTCTGGCGCGCGAGTTGCAATGCGACGGCTGTTTCTTGTTCAATGGATTCCCCAAGACTGTATGGTAACTCGCTACTATCGGTTGAGAAATTGTGCAGGAAACAGCTGTCGCATTTTAAGATTTCAGTGGTAACCCTGTTCTTGTCGCATGGTGCTGTGCTACGTACCCCAAACTAAGTCTCATTAAAGAACTATCCCATTGTTTGGTTGCAGTGGAAAGACCTCCTTACTCTTCCAGTGTGCCGTGAGCTGTGCGTTGGATGGGCAGAAAGTGGTCTTCATTTCGCATCGGAGGTTCCAGTCCATGCCACTGTCTGTGCATGGGGCTCCCTCGCCTGACCCACTCTTGATGAAACACATTCACATACTGTAAGACTTACGTCTACATGTAGGTGGCTTGGTCATTTTGCTGGTCCCCGAGTGCCAGCCAAGTGTCCTCTTTGTACCTCATCGACTGACTGACCGACTTCTGGTTGTCACTTGTGAATCAGACTGGTCATATGCTGATGAAGAGAGCCGGGCAGTGCTATCATATAGGATAACCCTGTTATGCCAATGAATGGGCTAAATCTGACCCATTGTGTAGCACAGATTTCCAGTGATCAGCCATGCTGCATCAATTGAATCAAATTTTGTGCACTCTTGGACCATCTTTTTTAGGCTTGCAATGTCATGTTAAAATGTCTCTTTATGGCATTTTGTTTTGATTTGTTTTCTTTTTGTGTGTTTTTAGGTTGACTGTTTTAGCCAACTTTTTGCAAAATTTGACAGAATTTTACCCCAAAAAAACCTGACTTTGACAGAGAATTTAGCAGAGCACATTTTTTTAGCAGATTTTTAGCAGAATTCTGTAAAATTGGTGATCGGACAGAAAAATGTGGTAGATTTGAAAAATATGCTCTGATTAGTTTTGAAAAAGCTTCAATTTGAGGTTCCCTGACGTGTATTAGTGCACAGTAAAGTACTTTTATAGACTTTGGACTTTAGACCATTACAAGCCAGGCTAGACACGTGCAAATGTTTTAATTTTTTTAAATTAATTTTTTTAAAGACTTTTGGGGGGGGGGGGGTGGGGGGGTTAACGAAATTTTATAACATCTGCATTGAGAATAAGTGTCTATAATGTATTTCGTGTAATAATAAGTGATTGGGCAGATTTTTGTTAAATCTGGCAAATTCTTGAAGTGCATCTGGCAGAATTTTGCCATTACCTTACGGTCATCCTGTTTTCTTCTGTGCTACATTATTGTTGCATTGCCAATGCAGGTATTACCAGGATCGGCCATCTTTGCTGCAGTATCTTGCCGGTATCCACTCCGTTCCATCCCCTCCTGATGTCATTCTAGTGGATGACATTGACTTCTATGCAACTCATCCAAAGGTAAGCCTTTTGACTGTGTTGTTTTGATGACAGATTCCACTTAAACAGTGAAAAATGGGCCCAATTTCAATACACTGCTTAGTAGAAAGTATACAAATATAACATGGTTTGTCAAGAAATAGTGAAAACTAATGACCCCGAGGTGTTGGATGATTGGGACTATCTCCCTCGGCGAAGCGGAGGGAGATACTACCAATCATCCAACACCTCGGATTCATTTGTTTTCACTATTTCCCCGCAAAAAAACATGTTGTATTTGTTTTACTATACCTCATAAATATTCATCAGGCAGCTGCGGTATTTCATTCGACCATTCCACCATGTTTTTGATCGTGCAGTATTTGGATAAAGTGGAACATTATTTTAATTTAAGGAGACAGACAGAATTGAAAGTTAATTTGTGTCATTTAATAATTTTAACATTCACGCAAAACACTGCATTTATTATTATTGTGTAAAATTTCACCCAGTTCCTCCTCGGTTAAAATCGCAAAGCGAGCACCGCTGGTCGCCATTTTGCCGTTATAGACTGGCACATGCAACTGTCCTCACTGGTGTTCTCCACGGTACGCACGTAAAAGCACATGCGTCGTTGGTAAAGAGATAACACAGTACTGGAACAAATCTAAGGCCGCGACCCAGGTGTGTGATAGTACCTCCCTGGTTTTTGCACGTCACGCGCGCGTACGAAGACGCGGGTTGATAGTAAAAACTTTCACACTGTTGAGTTGCTGGAATGGACCAATGAAATGCCGCGGTTGCCTGATGAATATTCATGAGGTATTGTAATATTGATTGGCAGATGATGTGCTGATTAAACATCAGCTGATGACCAGTCACATACAATATACATATTGCATGGCATTTGGGTTGGTAACCTTTTTCCTTCAATAAGCCAGTTCGGTATTCCAACTGCGCATGCGTACATCAAGATTTACCCGATTTTTCTTTTGGGATAAAAATGTCATCGTATGCATGCAAAAGCATAGCGGGGTACGAGCAAAATTGAAGAGATCGTCGTGTTTTGAAGTATGACATTTTGCAACAAATCCTTGGACAGCGAAGTGTTTTTAGGTGTCTTATGTGTCAAAACTTTTGTGCGAACGAAAGTTCCATCTCTTTTCGATTGCACGAAAAATTGCACAGAATGCAGATTTGGTCACCACGTCCCCCATAGCCTTGTATGCATTTATCTGCTGTGGTTATCCCGAGAAAAATCGTCAAATTTTGCTGTGCACCAGACTATTTTGGAATACTGCACTCGCTTATTCTGCGAAAAATGTACCCAGATCAGAGTTGCAAAAAGTGTAAAAGAAACAAACAAACAAACACAATTTGACACAAGAAGATTGCATACCTGATAAGGGGGTCTACCCGATGTTCCCCAATACTGATGTTCCCCAAAATCCTTGGGATTAGGGTTAAGGTTAAGGTTAGGGTTAGCGTTAGGGTTAGGGTTAGGGTTAGGATTTTGGGGAACATCGGTATTGGGGAACATAGGTATGCACCCTCTGATAAGAGAGGATTGTAATGGCTACCTATAAGTTGCTAACGCTAGTAGAGATATAAGTTAAAAACAAACTTAAACTAGAGGTTCGCGTTTGTTGAGTTACAAACGCAGAGTGGTCGGGCTGGCATATTTTCTTGTGTTTACAATGACTTAATCATAATTGAACTGCACAATACCCCTCCCATTACCCTGTGTATTTCACAAAGAAAATCACACAACCTGCAGTTGAACTTGTTGCTTTACCTTGACAAGACTTATAGGCCTATCAGGAAGCGCACATCTGGTGCTGCATGGATGGCTACTCAAGCATACAACCAGTTGGGACTATTGGTAGACTTGACGAAGCCTCTAACGTCCTTGGAGTTTATGCAACATATGCTAATCATATCATAAAATGGCTTTTATGTTTTTTTTTCTTTTGCATGGGCATAATAAAATTCTGCACTGACTTTACGACAGAAAAGTTTGTGGCTTCACGCTGTGGAAATATTAATTTTCAGCATTCAGATATGAGAGAAAAACTGATGAGGCGCGATTTCAATGGAAAGAAACAAAACATAGTAAATCGTGACGTAATAAACAGGACTCCCGATGCAGCGTAGTATAAACGAGTCCTGTTTATTACGTCACGATTTACTTTGTTTTGTTTGCTGCCCCCAATGATGACTTTTACACAAATTGCACGTTCGGGTCGAAACAGGACCTGAAAAACAGCTCTCAAAAGTACCCTCTGTACTCATTTCATGACAGACGCAATAGTCCTTTTTATTTCATCACATCTTAGGCTACATATACCCGAAAAATGACGGAAATGTCTTCGAGCATTCCACAACCTCTTTAAAAGACTTGTTGTGCACTCCAGCATGATATTCTAAAACTGCTGTAATGATTAAAGGAGCAATAAATATTGCACTGGGTTTATTTTGCATGACAGACACAGGATACTGGCTCGACCACTGCCCTGCTGTGTGCTTACTTGATAGACGCTGGTGCCTTCATTGATACACACAGGTATTCGAGGTGTTTTTCAGACAGTAAATTAGACTGCTTCTTACTTGTCTAGAGCTAATGTCTAGGTCTTCATCCGTTTTTACAACAGCGGAATGTCGTTTCAGAAATGACTTCATACTTTTGAAAGTTGTCTGCCATTGTGATATTCTAACTGTGCTTGAGTAAATCTGGGTTATAATCTTTTACTGTTGGGCAAATGTAACACAAAAGTCTGTTGGGCCAATATGGTAACAAAATCAGTAAACCATCGCTATAGCGAACACCGCTATAACAAACATTTGGCTATAACCATAGAGCTATATTAAATTACTAGAGCGCTAACTTCGTGAACAAAGTAATGCCTGCTGGGCGCATCCATATTTGTGCACAAACCTATGGAGACCCAGAAATTTTGTACGACTTTTGTACGGCTATGTGCATATCTGCGTTTGTATTCCATACCGGTGCGTTATCGAAGCCAATACGCCAAAAAAACGAAACGCACGATCAGCTAATGAGTGTGTCATTTTGCTCTACGCAAACAGCGCAACGCGTGGGCGTATTCGCTGCAGATGCTTTTTGCCATCACATGTTTTGAACCGTCAATGACGCACTTAAGTTGTTTGCGTGTGTTCTACTTGCGCGTTGCATGTAGAGTACACTTTCAAAATTCAATCCATCTAATTTCATTATGTTCTACAAACACGCGCACATGAATTCAAAATGTCTGCACCCAGGACAGCTTCAAAGCGTCTCCACGCGCAGAATGACGAGTTAGCGCTCTAGTAATTTAATATAGCTGTATGGCTATAACGAACATCCCGTCTGACTCCCAAATAGTAAATTATATTACAATGCACAATTATATTATAATACACAATATTTTTGTGTCGCCCAAACAAAGTTTGGGGACACTTGCCACTCCTAAATTCTGTATCTCCGTAAGTCCATATCTCAAATGTCCATATCTCCGTATGACCCATGCGTTAAAATTAGGTTAAGTACTTAAGTTTTTGAAAAACGTGTACAACTTCTACATGCTTCCATGGTTTTAAGCTGAAACTTGGATGCAGTGAGCCTTGGGTGGGAAGAAACAATTCTTCATCAGATTACCGAGGTCAAAGGTCATGTAGGGGTCATTAGAGGCCATTGTTCAAATATGTTTCAAATATTTCTTTGTCTACAGAATTTGATGGATTTTAATGTAACTTGGATGGATCCTTGGGTGGGGTTCATTACAACTTTTCCGAAATTGGAGGTCAAAGGTCATGCAGGGGTCATTCGAGGTCGTTGTTGAAAAATGAACACAATTAGACTTTTTAAGAGCACAAAAGATAAAGGGATCAACCTCGGGAAAAGGTGACACATGCGGTCTACGGACCACTTGTTTAAGGACCCTATCATATTCATTATAGTGGCGTTCTGCTATGATCGAAAAGGGGATCAATATCAAGAGCGTAAAAATACTGTGAAAGTTTGCATGCATGCAGTAGATTATAGTGACTTTTGCATTTGGCTGCTTTTAAAGGAGCCATGTTAAGATGAATCTTTCTGAGGATTCACGAATATGGATATTTGCGTTAATACCCCCGTCACACCGGAGGCGCGGTGCCACTACGGTTTTTGGTCAAAACCGCCATCACCGTAGTGACACCGGCAGTAGTTTTTCATAGTTTTCCCCTACCCGTCATATACCCCCATCACACCGGAGGTGCGGTGCCACTGCGGTGCTTGTACGGCATAAACTGCAGTGGCATTGCCATGATCGCCGTGGTACCGCAGTGGTTCCGTCATTGATCGCTGTAGCACCGCGGAAAACTGTCAAAACCGCGGACCTTCGCGATTGCACGGCGGTTGTACTGCGGAGGCACGGCGGTGATAGAGGTCCTACTGCGGTCCTTGTACGGTGCCACGGCGGTCATGGCGGTGCCGCGGCGATCCCACTGCGGATTGGCCCCACCCGCGGTGGCACTGCGGAAGTTTTGAACATGTTCAAAGTTTACGCCGTGCCACCCCGAAGGTCTGCGGTTTTGACAGTTTTCCGCGGTGCTACGGCGATCAATGACGGAACCACTGCGGAACCACGGCGATCATGGCGGTGCCACTGCGGTTTATGCCGTACAAGCACCGCAGTGGCACCGCACCTCCGGTGTGACGGGGTATAAAGCATAAAAACAAAAAAGGCACTAAAACACCCTTGAAAATGGCAAAAAGAAAATTGAAATGAGGTTAAATATGCATTTTCAATTATTGTATAAAAAAGTTTACATTGCATATGGCCCTTTAGTGCATTCCCAAATGTTAGCATTTCCTTAAATAATCTGTTTCCCTTGTTATTTTGTTTTAGTTGGTCCTCATCATTCTCCCTCCCCGGCCCCCACATAAAAAAACAATTGCAATTTTGAAACATGCCAACCCTAACTCCCTAGGGGGTGTGCAAAATCATATTAAAATTGGAGGATTCAGGACTGTTAGGGATCTATTGTTTGCAATTATGTGGGGATATCATTGCTGTAAACTGTTAACGATGGAATTTGGGTCATGGTGATGTAAACTCAATATAAGTTTTGCCCTTCATAATTGATGAATAACACCAAGTATGAGCATTTATAGTTGGTCAAGGGCAAAACCTAATATTGAACTGTTAAAGTTGTTTCTTTGAAATAAGATTTTATGTTAAGAGTGGCCTTAAAAATGTCCTGTTTGAGTACCTGGCTTAGTATTTTGAGGTATTTATATTCCTAGGAATTGTTTGTTTTGGATCATTGATCCTCCCTGCCATATGTTTTTTTCCCTGTAAAGGACTGGTTTTCCAGGTTGCCAACATCACCATTGTCCCTATGGTGTATTTTCCAAGACTATCATAAACTGCCCTCGGACCCCATATTCCCAGAGGAACTGAAAGGCACTGGACGTTATACAGTTGCATGGTCTGCACTTAATCACAAGAAGGTTGCCAAGGTTGCTTAGTACCCGCCCACTTCCGCCCACTTCTGGTTTTTGCAGTCCCTGATCTAAAATCAATTTGATATAAGTTTGTGAGTGTCCAATTTTAAATTTTGCAGTCCAGGGCCTGGCTGAGGTCAAATTCTTTTCCTTGCATCATGATCTATATATATAAGAGAGAAGTTTACTCGCCTCCCAGACGATGTTTGCTCCTGAAAGGATCCGAGACCGCGGGCTCCCGCGGCGCCAAAATCGCTCTACGTCCGTGGAAAAATGCGGAGGGTGTCTTCCGCTGGGTCGGACACTTCGGGTGGTCCTGATTTTCCTGTACGGACCGGCGATCCGTTTCGTCGATTTTTCGTGACTGCGTTTTTCGCAGGAATTTGCCGTCGTGTGCGCTTTCACTTTGACTGCCTGTCTGCCCCCTGTGCTGGCTTTTTCTGCGTGTCTAGACTGTGCGAGGTCAGCGGCTTCGACGTAGGGGTTGCGTTTACGTGTTCTACTGGGCTGTTTTGCAAAAGAGTTCACCAAACGGCAGCATGGGGTGACCTTGGCAAAATATTTTTTCTCCATGGTGCGTGGCCATCAAGTGTCCCTATTCTTTCATATGCTTCGCTTGCCGCCCCTGCGCCGAGTGCAACGAATACTCAGAAGGACCACACATTAGTATGCCTTGCGCGGTCTGACCAATCGAAAGTCTACACTGCATAGTATTTCCGGGCTATGCAAAACTGTCGATGGCAACGCGTACTGCAGCCTGCTCCACACCCTGAAAACGAGGTTGGGTCTACGGTGCTCGCTATTTGAAACGCAAGCATGTGACGTCGCGTGATAGAGTGCTGTTGCTTCCATAATGTGTTTACAGCTCCATGCTTCCACCACCAAGGCTGAGCGTTGTGAGTTCGCTGCCCGCCACGTATAATTCAGTGTCGCGTTATAATTTCGGGGGCCTGTTTGGGGTCAACGAAGGATCGATGCATTAATGCTTCAAATATCGCGATCTTAAAACGAAGTCACAAAAAAATCGACGAAAAAGTGTCCGACCCGGCGGAAGACACCCTCATTTTTCCACGGACGTGAAGCCGCGGTCTCGGATCCTTTCAGAAGCAAACATTTCTCGGAGGCCGAGTAAAACTTGCTCTTATATATAGATGGTTGAACCAACTTGAATAAAAGTTGAATCGCAGACGGTCTCGCAGATTGTAAGAAGTTCAAGTTTACGTCTGTTGAAGAGTCCAATACTGAAACTTAATTATGACCTTCCTCCATGATTCAGACCGTTTGTAATTTTTTGGTAACGCTCAACATTTTCATTTTAAATGACACCTTCACGTTTTATTGCATTATGATTTATTGTCAAACTGTACAACCAGCCTTCGCCTGTGTACTACAGTAACCTTTTCACTACGTTTTCCAAATGCGACTGCCTCACAAAAAGCCAATTTAACAGACCAACGGCAACATTTACAGACAGTTGCCATGGTACATAATTATCATGTGCGTAAATCGACAGGGGACAGGGGGAATCCCCCCCCCCCCCACACACACACACACATTTTGAGGGGGGACATTGTTTGGTCTTCCCCCCCCCCCCCCACACACACACACTTTTTCTTCCCCGAATAAAAATATTGTAGCCTACAATAATGATTCTATTGCTCAGAATACATGTAGCTGATTCAATTACTCACAACTCAAAACTTTCACAGATGATCTTTTGCTCAAATTGGTTTTAGTGATCAGAAATTGCCTCAGATCACACAACAGAAATTGCTATTCTTTAACTGCATGTCTCCCCAACTATATCCCCCATTTACATTTAACTCCCCACATTTTCATCCCCAACACTACGCCCTACCCGATCTATGATCGGGTAAACCAGCTTGTTATATATATAGACAATTCCAGCTTTACGAAAGGCTCTGTAATGTCCGTAACAGAGCCAGTTACCCACGATGTCTAAGTAATGATTTAGAGACATGATCCAAAACTCCTTGTCTGTAATCTACTTGACCATTACTAGATAATGGATGAGAAAAAGATTAGAAAAATACACTTTCAGGTTTATTTACTGAGCTCTTCAAAGCTCTGTTACGGACAATACGTATAGCGCTGGAATTACCCTAACACAGCCACAATGTTCTGGCTTGTTGGTATGGCGAACATTATATTCAAATTGCTTACTTTCTCAAGTTACCTTTATAAGTTTTCCGTTGAGACTTTTTAACCCATTTTAATTAGCACTTTATTATATAGTGGTGTTCCCTAACGTGGCACACTTCAAAGTTTCCCCCGACTTTCCTCAAGCAGTGTTGCCAAACCTCGTTGTTGAAAAACTTCATATTCATTCAGTTAAATACTGGCACATGTACTATCACCTTAATAATGCTTGCCGTTGGAACCTTTGTGAACAATTTCAGTGTCATGAAATTTAGTGCGAAATTCTAAAACAGTGGCGTCCGGAAATTGGGCACAAATTCGGCTGAGTGTTACCTTACGTGGCACACTTGAAAAAATCTGGGAAAATCTTACGTTAACATTTAAGAACTTATTTAAAGTTGATAAATTCGGATAAATCATCAATATCTCCACTCACATACCCAACTGCAAGCTTGTCAGAAAATTCTTTTCTTATTTTTGGGCGTATTTCAACAAGGTAAATTTTCCACTTCAAAAAAAAAATCGGAAAGTCACGCCAAAATAGAACTTCTCTGGAACTTTGTAGCGGGTACGTAAACTCAAGATTTATGCGCAGAAATGTTTAGAGCTTGATGAAATTTCGCTTACAGCGAAATTTAAGTAAGGTTAAAATATTGTTCTAGCAAGGCACTGAAGACGAAAAATCAAAGTGTGCCACGTTAGGGGCCGCACCATGTTAGGGTACATCAACAATATTACACTGTATGACAATGTATTTACATGTACCCCTTGACAAATCCTTAAAACCAAACAATGACTTTTCAAATTCCCTTTCTGCAATTAACTTTTGAAGGGAAAGTTTGGGCCTGTAGTTTGCAGCAAATAAAAAAACGCTGGTATTTTTTGCCCATGCTGTGGCACCCACAGAGCGAAAGGGTTAATGGCCTCTACTGACAAAACAAATTGAGTTTGATGAAGTGAAACTTTCAAACAAAACAAAATTCCTTCCAATTTTCTCATAATTGAAAATATTAACCCCTGTTTTGCGAGATGTTTGCTATGAATTGATTTTGTCTCTTCCAGAGCCAATAATCAAACACGGGGTAGGGAGAACGACCAGCGATGTCAATTAATCGCATCCGTTACCACGCCGAGCAGTGGAGAGGTGGCCCTGGAACATGTATACCAGAGTTTTCTCCCGACATTTCTAAGGATTTCAGGTAAGGGCATGTCTTTGAAGCAAAGATCTAAAGGGTATTAAGTTGGTTTATTCATGGTTTATTCATATAGACTGTGTGCCAGAAATCATAGCGTGCAGAATCGTTTGGAGTTTTTGGTGGCAACTTACTTTCTTTCCTAATGAACTCCTTTTGTGCCACGGATTAATATTTTGGATGTTGCCAGCAGAAAACCCGGCAGGTTAATGTGATAATCAAGGTTAAAAATTGCACATTTCCCGTCGCATCTGTAACGGTTTCATTGAACCGCCGATAGAGGGCAGTAGTTGCAACCTCGAATCAGCTCTTCGTAGCTGATTTAGGAAATCGTGTTGCTTCACCGGGGTACGAGAAGGGCAAGGACGGAACATGGCGGCGCCCGTGAACAGGACGTGCGTTAGCATGGTTAGCCGAGTTTGTGAAGAAACCGGTGTAACTTAACCGATTACAGAGATGAACCTTTTGAAGAGTTGGTTCGAAAAGGAGAGAGAGATTGTCCAAGAAAACAAGGCCGAGTATGCCTAGGCCCGTCATGCCCGTATATACAGGCGGTTAAAAACCACCATGTTTACAGGTCTACCGTCTAGCACCACTACTAGTCATGCCAGTACCAGACCACAGGCCAGGTAGGTTTTCATGTCGTAAAATAGAGATCGTAAAGGCGGCTTTATGACCTTGGCTAAGAAAAATATTGTTTGTGCTATTAGTAGGATGGGTAGGCGAGTACTTTTTGGCATTGTGTAGTTAAATTTAAGACAACTCTAATAGATATCAATTATATCATGTTTTTGTTTACAAATACAAGTCCGTACAATGTCATTCATAATTCAAAACTATTATTATTATTATTATTATTATTATTATTCTTAATCATTTCTGGTAATGAAACCAAGGATTCCTCAAAAGCGCCCTAGGCACTGTAGCTCGCAAGCCTAAAGAAACCTTTGGAGAGAAGACAATGAGAAGAAGTTACAGTTTTTAGAGGCGGGAGGAAAAGCCCAGAAGAATATTCTGGGGAAAACCCACGGAATCAGGTAGGGACTGAAAACCCAATACACATATTGGCCCAGGCGGGATTCGAACCCGGGTCACAGCGGTGGAAGGCGAGGAAAGTACCGCTACGCCAACCTGACTCCCCTATAGCTTGAGTAACTCCTGCTTACATGCTAATCAGCATGTCAGCTGGAGTTACTCAACATGCTCAAGCTAATTCAAAACCATGCTCTCTTTCCACAAAATTAAGCAACATGGCATCTTATAATTAGGGAACTATCTGTCATGTCTGTATGATTCCAAACCAAAAAGGTGATTGATCCTAGCTGGAGTTACATCAGCCCTATATTAATTTTTTCTTCATTGGGTGATGACAACCCAATGATAAAATATATAGGGCTGAGGTAACTCCAGCTAGATTGATCCTGCTATAGGCATAAAAGTCTCTAAACATGACTGTTCTTTTAAATGGAAACTGGGTCAAAAACTGAATGATTACTATTTTTTTTATATCTCTTACTCAAAATGTTGATAGCTGAAAGACATTAAAAGGTCAGAATTATGGCTGATTTCCTCAAACTTGCAAATCCCATCACCATATGGCAATCTGTGCAGATAAACAGTTGGTATTTGAGATACGCCGTATTTGAAGTAAAGCACAATCAATTAGTTTACAAGTGCAGTACTCATCCTAACAGATTCCAACAAACCCTGGCGTTGGAGTTTGGCTGGTTGGGAATCTTACGGTCCCTCAAAGTTTCCGCTGTTGTGCCAGTAATCTCTCTTAACATGCAAATGTATACGCATGTGTGTCTTTGTCACTCACGATTATCAATTTAATGTTTTAAACCGAGCAAACGAGTGGCTCCAAGGGAAAACGCTGGCCTCCATTTCCACTGACCCGAGTACAAGTCCCACACTCAACATTAAATTTGTTTCATTTTCCAAAAAGTTCCATTTTTGTCCTAAATCCAGTCCTCCAATTAATTACAGAATATTTTAACTTTCTCTTTCTCATCTCAGCAGGTTCTGCAATGTGACTACCGGTTCAGTTGGCCATGGTTGGCAGATGGGAGGAGAAACCATATATTCCAGTTGATGATCATTGTACGTGGCTCCCCCTAGTGTCCTCCAGAATATTTGCTGCAAGTATAAAAAGGAACTGCACCTCACGCAAATGCTCCTGTCTGGCTAGGGAATTGCCTTGCCTTGAACTGATTGCGGAAACAACACTTCTCAGACTTTGGATGCCTGCCCAGCGATGGTGATGAAAGTGACATTGATCTTTAAAGACACTGTCAATTATGCCCCTGTCTATAAGCATGTATCAAAGGCATACATATATACATGTATTTGTCATCAATGATCAGCCATATTTTTCTATTAGTTGGCTTACACCATCTGTAACTACATGCACGGCAACATGTATGAGTATTTTATAAGCTTGGTCAAGATGGTAGAAATGTGAACTGTAATCATGACTTTAATGAAGGCTATTTCTTCCGTCGATTTGTATTGGTCACCCAAGTTCCAGTTTTAAAGAGTTTATTTTAGGCTAATGGCAATCCAATCATCTACAAATACATGTAGTTTGTCTGGCTCAAAATGTATAAGAAAAAAACTAACGAATGTCTGGAAAAAGCATTGCATACCTGCTTAATTAATTACCATGAAATCTTTCGGTTCATTTTAGGTTAATGACATAATTTAGTAATCTGCAATAGTCTTTCATATTCACATTTGTGGAATTAATAATAGGAAGTTCAGTAATGACTTGAAAAACCAATTTGTCCGCACATAAACAAGGCATAATATAGCCAAGCGTTAAGTTTTGCATAATTTGATGCTTTATATACCGTGAAACCCTTACAATTATGAAACTTTTGGCATCAAAATACTTCATGTTGGGTTAATGATGTAATTCGGTCATCTACAAAGAGCATTTTCAGCTCTGCATTCGAGAATAATAATGCCTAGAAAAAATGTTGTATTATTACATACATTTGTAATTATTTCCCATCGTTTTACAATCTTTGGAATTCAAGTTTTAGACAGTTTGTTTAATTTGGATTTAAACGACATAATTAAGTTATCTTTCAGCATCACATGGAACATTTCAGTGATACTTTGGAAAAATACTGTGTAAGCATACAGCACTGAATATGACCAAAGCGTTACATGTATATGCTGAATAATTTCCTACTTATTAACAAAACAACAATAAACTTTAATTATGATTTTCTTTGCATCAAAGACTATTTAGTGACATGTAATTCCGTCATTTACATTTATGGAAACAGTGTGGTATGCCTTATGGATATAAAATCAGTAATGCCTAGAAAACCAGGTGGTACATGTACACATGTAATAAAACATTGCACACAGATACACAGTATGTCAAAGCATTGTTTTTGCATTTTTATCGTTATTATTAAATCCCTTTGGCTATGAGCGTACAATCTTTGACAGTTATTGATCATTAAGTATTCCAAGTTGGTGACAATCTGCATTGAAATCGGAGGGGCCATTGCCGAGATCCTTAAGGGAATGTATTGTCAGAGGCCCTCAAAAGAGGATGTTTTTGGTTATAACACTGCGAACGAAGATTGTGCTTAAACCTGCCACCTGATAGCTTGGCAACAGAAAGAATTGAATTCAGCACCCTCAAATTGACAACGAACAAGCATTTTTTTGTTGCCACCAAAAATCTTGAACGGACTTCATTTTCTAGGCAAGATAGGATTTCTGGCCCACGGTCTAATACCCCGGTAGTCTAGTGGCAATCTACCTAAAGTAGGGTGCAGACCAGTATAAAAAATGGCCATAGACCAAAAGCCAGGGAAAAAATACCTACAACTCTAGGGGTGTACTGTAACAAGGTCATTTTTTTGTGTTGGGAAGGGGGGGGGGTGGGTTAAACATTTCTTGAAAAGGCCGGGCACTTGCACATCCGTCTTGAAATGTAGACAGGGTTTTTTTCTCCGGACAATTGGCCTCCGTAACATCAAACCATCTGTCGATAGGGGTGCTGTTCAAAACCAACGTTTGTGCACACTAACTGACAATATATGATGCTTTTCAGGGCGATACATGCGTGAAATTTTAAAAAAGGCAGTCTTTGCATAATATTGGGGGGGGGGGGAGGGTACAATATATGGTGCTTTTCAGGGCGATACATGCGTGAAATTAAAAAAAGGCAGTCTTTAAAAAATATTGGGGAGGTATTACCCCCCCCCCCCTGCTACGCCTATGAACTCTCAACGGTGTTCAGGACACAAATCAAGTTAAAGTTTGAGATTCCATCTGACACTTTCTGTTACAAAATTTGGCACATCGCCCATTTTTGGGTGGTTACTCCCAGAGTGGACCAGGGTAGTAGTGTCCTGTTTTTATGTTTCTGCCAAAGTCTCTCCTTGTTTAAGTCTCTCCTTGGCTCACAAATTTGACTCGGATGACTCGGGATGACTACAGTATGTTCCCAAAAAAAGTGTCCGTCTGACTATTTTTGAAATAACTACAAAACCATGAGGTCAACTTTGAAAATGTTTGACTGTGCAGATACTCCTTATCCTTGTCCTAAACCCCTATGAGTTTCTTTTTATTTCCATCAGGAGTCACTGCACAATGGTCAATTGATTACAACAACATTTGTGGACACTGTGACCAACTTTTATGCCTTGATCAATTTCAGTGCTGTGTATTGTAAGCTGTGTAAAATCCTGCATGTTGTGAAAAAGGCTGATGTGGTTTGGGATTGGAATCATTTGCCCTTGAGCATAAAACTGAGGTCTTGCCATGATGACTGATAGCCAGGCAAATGATTCCAATCCCAACCTTTTCACAACATGAAGGATTTTACACAGCTTACACATCACAGCACTGAAATTGATTAAGGCAAGGAACTTGGCCACAGTGTCCAAAACTGTTGCTGTGATCAATTGACAATTGTGTACTGATGTTAAATGAGACGCAAGGGGGTTTATGCCAAGGATAAGGAGTATCTGCACAATCAAAAAATTTCAAAATAGAATTCATGGTTTTGTAGTTACATGTATTTCAAAAATAGTCAGACAGACACTGTTGTGGGGACATACTGTACATGTATAGGATGGTTAGAAAGCCTGGACTCACAGACCACATTGGTCTGAGACAAGCGAAACTAGGCTTACCTAATCTTGTTAGACCTGATCCCTCCAGATTCACTCAATTGCAAACTAGAGCAACATTTGGTCCAATTTCAACCAAATATCTGATAAACATACAACCTCCCAGTCCTTTTCAGAGTTTGAACCTGTCATTTTGTGTCACCTAAACGAATGTTTACCAGTCCTGAATTCTGTATGACCGTATGTAGGCATATACAAGACACAACAAATACATTTCAGGAGCCAAATCTTTCTTCAACTGAAAATGAACAGCTTTTGCAAGAATAAGAACACAAAACATATAGGGAATGACCTCGAAAAAGACGACACATGAGATCCGTGGATCACCTGGTTACAAAACTTACAGTAGCCAAAAAAAAACCCGCTGTATCAAGAGAAAAAAATGACTGTTTTTTTTTTTGGGGGGGGGGGGTCTATTTCCAAATTGAGATTTGGTTGGTGTAGGCAATTTCAGGCCTACATACATGTATTTACTGGCCTTTAACTATAGGAAACCAATCATTTTTGTTTCCTGAGGGGCCCAGTAATTCTTAGCAACTAACCTTTGCCTTTGTAAGTCTTAACTACCTACATGTAGACTACCGTTTGTCATTATCATGCTGGGAAGACTCTGCAGGAATAAATGAGTGCATCTGGCCTCGGGGTTAGGTTAATGCCGTATCAAACATTGAGGATGGAATTACTCTGAACATAAAAACTGTTTGGATAAAATATACTAGCATGATCTAATCTGTTCAGCCATGGTTAGCTTTTGACCTTGTTGATTCTTGAGCATTGAGATATGAATATTGAAAAAGTTGTGTGTAGGCTAGGTTGCACCCTCGCATTGCATCGCATTAATGTTAAACAGTATCAACATTTTTGTTGAAGGAACTAAAGCTTTGAAGGGAAAGTACAATTATAAACATAAACAAGTCCAGCGTTTAAAACACCTTCAATGGTTGTTTTCTTTAGATCGAAACCATTTCTGAGCTTTAATTCTTGCACAATAATTTCATAAGTGTTACCAGTCCTTTCACTTTTTTTTTCTCATTAAATCGGTCGGTGTGTGTCTGTGTAATAACTAGTGTTCCTACGTGCCTTTAAAAGTTCAGTCCATGCGGGGTGTGGTCCTTTGAAATCATTTGTCCTTTAATATTCTCCTGTAAATGCATTATTATTCAAATTATTTACTGACCTTATCAGGTGTGCAAGGCACGAATGAGGTCTACCAACTCTCCCTCCACCCAAATGGTACATCCCAGGCAACCTGCATCATCACATACGAGATCAGGGACAGCATCAGGCTGTTGGATTACCATGTAGGGGACGCTGCACTCGGCTTGTCGCAGGACTTCACTCAGGAATAGAAAGACAAGGGTTTGTTATTAAAGTAAATAGTAGTGCAATAAAATTGTTTCTATTTCTCTTGCTATTTGGATTTGAAGTTTTGACTTTTGTACAGCGAAAGCTGGAGCTAGATATTTATACTGCACTCCTTAATGGGCATGCGATATCTAGATTTATTGATGAAAATTTAATGCATATTTAAGCCTGTTGGCCGACATATTCAGTTTTTGATTACTGCTACCGGTATTTCAACAGGATGTGGTGGTACAGGTTTATATGCTAATGAAAAGTTTAACATTCGTGAGCAAAATACTAATGTTAGGCCCCCCCCCCCCAAAAAAAATAATCGGTCTCTGGTCAGACCGAAGTTCCGGAATTGATGCGGCGACGCGTTGTTTTTTTTGGGGGGGTGGCTTTTTTTTTTTTTCAAGCTTCAATTGTACAGACAAGGTGGGTACTATTTTGCTTTTTTGTGTCCTCATTATACATTGGTGTCCTCCATCATTTGCCTTGGTGCCCTTTATCATTTGCCTTGGTGCAATTTCCCCATTCCTTGGTGCTCCTTGGTACAAAAATTGGAGGAGGTGCGGCAATAGAGGGCGCTGGTGTAGCTTCCGTGTTAATTTGAAGAAGAAAAAAAAGGTTGACGGGCATGATTAAAATCGACGCGCGCGCTGACCAGAGACCCGAGTATTTTTTTTTTGGCCTTATCTGGGGCAAATGTTTCAGTGTAAGATATGCTGCATCACCAAAAGTTCCTCAAATATTAGGATTTGTCCCCCCCCCCCCCCCTCAATTTTTTCCAAGTTCATTTTTCCATTTTGTATGTTCTGAATATTGGGGGTTCTGTTTTGATGCAACAAATAAAACAATATGTTTCAAATCAGTATTTTTCAGTTTTTCACAGAATATACCTTATGGATGATACAACGTTGCTGTAATTTTCAGAAATGGATGGATTTGGGGTTAGTTTTTAATAGCAAATATTGTTACACTGAGTTGTTTCAAGTTTTGTGTTTGCAAATGCTGGAAAAACCAAGAAAAACAATCCTGTTCTTGTACACTGGTTCCCTGATCCCACTGAAATTGAAATGGAGCAATGTATAGACGTCGGGGAACCAGTCTACCTGGCTTGTACCTGTTCATAGGTGTGTAATCGATTGCAAACTAAATTCAGAATAACTAAATATAGTAAGTTGGGCGTACTATTTGAAAAAAAAATCCATTTTTTTTTCAAACGCTGGTCATTGTGCTACAAAAATACCACTTTTTATGAAAATGTCAGCATGCCAGATGGCATGATTTTACAAGATGCTTTAGACTGTCATTCATTAACAGCCCAGTTATTTCATAATAATTTGGTAGTTTTGTTTCTAGATGTTTGCAAATGTTGTATGTTCCCTTTAAAGTGGGTACTAAAGCATAGAGCAAGGAAAGTGACATCAAGTCAACATCAGGTTTTAGAAAGAAACACGGACACTGAAATAGAAAATGTTCAATCAGCAATTTTAAACGTACAAAAGGCCATGTACGTGTCACGTTTTCGTTTAAGTCTCAGATTAGGCCAAAAAAAAAATAAGTTGGTCTCTGGTCAGCGCGCGCGCGTCGATTTTAATCATGCGCGTCGATCTTTTTTTTTTCCAAAATGTTCCGCGGTAGCTCCAACAGCGCCCTCTATTTCTGCACCTCCTCAATTTTTTTTTACCAAAGAGCACCAAGGAATGGGAAATTGCACCAAGGCAAATGATCGAAAGCACCAAGGCAAATTATGGAGGACACCAATGTACATGAGGACACCAAAAAAGCAAAATAGTACCCACCTTGTCTGTACAATCCCAGCTTGAAGAAAAAAAAAAAAAAAGCCGCGTGGCCGCGTCAATTCCGGAACTTTGGTCTGACCAGAGACCGAATATTTTTTTTTTAGCCTTAGATTGAAATAACCCGGCTGATATTTTAGGCCTATGTTGGCCTATTAAGTACAAAGACAAAAACCAAGCCTATTTTGGGAAGACAGTTCGAAGAATAGTTTACAATAAAAAAATACCCATGTTCTCCTGAACATTCTCCCTTGGTGTATTCCTTGGTGTATTTCTTCCTATGGACGCATTATTAAAACCACGGAGGAAGGATCTAGAACACAGAATAATTCAGGCCTTTTCACACTGCACAGCCAATCCCCGGGAAATAAACCCTCGGGAATTCCCGGGGATTTTTTTACCCCACCAACACCCCAGCAACCATTCACATTATTTAGACACATTTGGTAACTCCCGGGGACACTATTTCCCGGGAATATGCACGATCGTTTCACACTCGCAATCAAACCCCGGGAATTGTGCAAAAGTTTTTAGGCGGACAGTCGGCTATTAATTTCGAGAAAACTTTCAGTTTCTTGTTGATGATGACGTTGAGAAATACGCATTGAGAATTGCTACCTACCTATCCCCAACGGACACGGAGCCGGCTCAGCGCCCGGCCAATTAACCCGCTCTTCCGAGCCGGGCCGCTCCGGCGAAGTACGATGAAATGTTCCCGCATGCATTGTCGGGAGCATGCCATAAGAACAAACAGGCCTCTTTTTACTACCAATCTTATCAAATTTTTATTTTTAGCAACGACTTTGCAACGTCAAAAAATCAACTTTTCCATCGCAATTTTCTTCGTAAAACATACGGCAATTCGCCTTGCATCATATGGACGGATCATCCAATGATACCGTAACTAAAGGGGTGCTTTTAATACCCTTTTAAAAGTTTTACATCGTTTCTCGAATCAATTCTTAATTAATATGATATTGTGATGTTGAGGAGCTTCTTTTCTAACATTGAAATGTTTCGAACTTCATAAAGAGAATTTTGTATAATTTTGGAAATGCCGGTACATATTCTTAAAAAAAAAAAAATGGTACACCCCTACAGTAAATGGTGTGATCCACATTGGTGACGCAGTACTGCAGCTCAGCACGTGCATCGAAGAAATTTTCATGGAAAATGCATGTACACGTACCTTGTTGGATGACAGTTGTCTGTTTTGGAGGATAAAAGTGGGTGAGATTTTCCAGGCGCAGCGTACGTGAATTAGTTGGGAGTCTTTCAGTTGGAAAATTATCATGGATAATGCCTGCATGTTCGTTCAAACGTTGCTGGAAAATGGTTATGTTTTGAGGATAAAAGTTGCATTTCCAGGCGCTGCGAACTGAAGTTGTGAGTATTTCAGTCACGCGGCGGCCCAATCAACAAACTGAACACCATTTGCATTGCGATTCATTTCCAAAAGTTCGGAGCACTTGAATATTGTGTCGCAAAATGCGATCGATACAGGGGGAAAAAAGGTGGGGTAAGTTCAAACCCGCCGACGTTCACACTAGTTGCTTTTCCCGGGAAATACGTAAAACCCCGGGGATTTCTCCTTTAACCCTACTCCCGAGCAGGGGTAAGAAATTTCCGGGGAAAAGCTTTTCCCCGGGAATTCCCCGGGAATTTTTTTGTAGTGTGAACAGACCGACCGAAATTCCCCGGCAATTTCCCGGGGAATTGCCGGGGAATTCGTCTAGTGTGAAAGCCCCTCAAGGGCAAATGTTCGTTGCAAGATCACGTACAGTACTTAAGGATATCTAAGAATTGATGCCAAATGAGGCCTCTACCATCATGTGCAAAACCCACGGGGACCTGAAGTACCGATACGTTCATGATAAAACCACTTACATACTACAAATGTACTTGGTTGCTTCGATACAATACAAAAGTTCAAAGTGGTCAACAACGTGCACATCTAGTCCTGTTGGGGCATGCCTTTAATAGTGAACATAATGGGGACATGGACAGGTCACGTGTGAGGGTAAGGGTCCAGTCTTTATAGGAGTCCAAACTTTACATGCAATTCCGGGAATTGGTTCCCCAGACCCGCAGACCGGATATTTAGGTTCCCTTGTCTTTATTGTTTGACCTTAGTATTAAAGGTTCCTGTGGTATAGATGAGATAACTCCAAATTCAGGAGAGGCCCTATCTACACAGGTTGCATACCAACAAGAGATATATCACTTCCAAACAATCAGGAAATAGGCCTGCTTACAAAGTAAAGCTCCAAGTTTTTTCCATCTTCACTTCCTGTACACAATTGTTATGGGGTTCATCTAATATCTTTGGGGTCTGATTTCTCTGCAAAAATTCGTAGCCATCTTGAAGCCCATCGCCATCTTGAAACAAAAGTTCTCTTTGCTACTTTATTTATGGGGTGCAAAAAAAAAATTTGGGGGGGGGGGGTAACTTTTGGGAGAAAATTCCATCCAAAGGTGATAACCCCTAAAATACTCCTGAAGCCCATCGCTCCATTGCAAAATAGAGTCTAAGAGCCATTTTGAGGGCCTAATTTCATCCAAATTTCACAGAAATACGAGCTCGCAGTCCTCTGCACGGCTTCCATCCTTTTTTTTTTTTTTTTTTTTTTAACAAATCCTGAAGTCCACGGCCCTCAAAATGCTCCAATACCTGAGAATTGTAGGGCTTATTTACAGATCTTCCCCTTTAGGAAAACAACATAGCAATTTTATACGAACTGGCAAGGTATTGACAAATACAGGCTTGCACGGTGTTGCCCTCTGGTAATTAAAAAAAAATCGACAGCCAACATAATTGTGATTTGGTCGGCGCAAGCAATTGCTAATTCGCTGGAAGTCGGGAATGTTGGCAAATTTTCCAGTTCACTATGATATACGGTTTGTTTGTAATGAACAGCAGTAGCACTACCTTGTGCCGTGTATTAAAAACGAGGATAAACATCAAGCCTTTGACGTTAGTAGGCGGGACAGCTTAAAAATAGATGATCTGCACATGTAGTCTATAATTTACCCAGCACTTTACTGCCGTCAGCTTTCTATGGCATGCTAATGTAACATTTAATCCCGAAATAAAGGTGGTTTTTTTTAACGTGCAAACTTAAGTTTTACTGCCAAAATAGAAATACATTAATCTATATAACAAATAGAAATATCTGTAAGAAATAAAGATATGTTTATTTCTAGAAATAAAGAAAGAGAAAATAGCGATATCTTTATTTGTTCTGATGTATCTCTATTTTGTTACCGGTGGCTGAGTTCAGCTGCTGTAATCTTAAATGCGGATTAAAACATTATAAACATGTGGGTGTTAAAATCGCTAAATCTGCTTATTAAAAGTGCACTTCGTCAGGCAATTGACACAGTGCAAGACCAAAAACAGAATGTGTAACAGAGATTAGATCTCACAACGATATCTCCATTGCAAATATAGGATACAGATATATTTCGGGATTAATTTTAATGTTAAATTTGCAGGCCGATACACTGACATGAT